CAGAGGTCATGCAAGGTCAACTTGGCAAATTTCGTTGAAAATGTTTTTAACTATAGCATGCATTCACGAGAAAATAGAGAAACGATTCATGCACCATCGTGCTTGGCTCGTCGAGACGCGTCGAATGATATATAGTTTGACCTCGAAAGGTCATTTTGAAAATTTGACCTCAGGTCAAGGTCATGACCTTACCGAAATAGGTCATGCTGCATATCATTCGATCCGCATTGACGAGACAAACACGATAAACGTCGAACGGAGTCTCTATCTCTATTCAATAACAAGTAAGTGCAGAAAAACCGCTGGTGACCTCTGGTGACCAGGGAGATGACCTAGCGTGACCTCAGCGAGGTCACAAGCAAATGGTTTCACATGGGCTGTGATTTGCTGACCCAAGACACTTCAATAACGAAATATAGGAACAATCACGCCCGATTTAGCTGAAAAACAACTACTTTTCGATTCTCCCATTGACTTATAATGGGGAGCAGCGATGACCTGACCTGACCTTAGGTCACATTTATAAAAAATCCGAGATAGCCATTTTGTAGAGCTGGGTGACATCTTCAAGTACTGTAAATTTTACATCGATCGGATAAAAGCTGTGCCTTTGAGAGAGCTTTGAACTTTTTTAGAGGTGGTGTCAGTTTTGGTGACCTTGTGACCTGACCTGACCTGACCCGAACCCCCCAAAAAAGGACATGATGTAAAAATGTTGAATAAACAGCTATACAAAGTTTCAGGGCGCTAACTCAAGTGGTTTCTGAGTTATCGCTGAAAAACCACAGGGGGGGGCCAAAATGGCCCCCCCCCCACCAGGGCGAAGGTTAAAAAGGTAAAGGCACGTCACGTCTAAGGACTGTACTATTTATGTTTACGCAATCGGAAATAACTGCAAGACGAAAGAAGTCAGTGACCTTAACATCATGTTCGGTCAGACAGTGAAGGATTCAAAACCGAGGAGCTGGAAAATACACATTTCCTTTTTGAACTTAGGAACCACGACACAAGCGCCAATGCATGCAATAGCAGCAAGCAACAATTGGTTCACGAGTCAAAGCCGTCATGAACGACTGCCAGGAGCATGTCCCGTGTCCCGTGACATTGCATTGCGAACCAAACTCTCGCCAGCCCCGGAGGCTTATTTACGCGCTCTCCCACCCTCCTGAGCCTTGTCGTCACCTTGTGCATCACCGGCACAGTGCCCATGACCCCCCCCCCCCCCGCCCCCTGGCGCGTCTCATGTGCGTGCTGCCGGCCTGGTGTCACCGGACACCGCATTGCGCGGCTTGCACGCGGTGTCCGATTCAGACTGGATGCAGGGGCGTCGCGCACACTTCAGCTCGTGCCATGGCGCCGCGACCTGAACCCTGATCCAGCAGCGTGGAGGGTCACTCTGCAATGAGTGAAGTATTTGAGCAAGCCGCCAGCCGGTGCTGTATTGTTACGAGCGAGCGAGCGCGGCGAGCGAAGCGAAGTCTTTTCAATATAACGGGAAAATCTCGGTATGAGCGGCCCGGCCCGGCCCGGCCCGGCCTGTAACGCTTTTGAGAGGCTTATAAGTTATAGCTCAGCAACCGCTGGACCGATTGGCCTGCGGTCTTTTTTGCTGGGTAGCCCCATCCCTTCTGCCCTGTAATTGACTACTCTTGACACATCTCAGTGATCGTCGTGGCACGTGCCACGTGAAAAGTCAAGGGTGTTCAAGCTGTTTTGCAAAAGTAGTGATTTTGAGAGGCCCATATCTCAGCAGCCGCTTGGGAAATTGTCTTGCGGTAATTTTTGTAGGGTAGCTGCTTCCCTTCTACCAATGGTCGGATACTCTTGATCTATGTGAGTGACCCCCACTGCACGTGCAAAATACAAAAGGAAGAGGTGTCAAGTTTGTTCCCATTTCAATAACTCGGTAATTACTGGGGCGATTTCGCTGAAACTTGGCATACAGGTAGGCACCCACCAGGCAATACATTCCCATGTGTTGCAGTTAGGGTGCTACTGCACGTGCGCACGTGCAGGGGGCGCTTCCAGATCTCGAGAATGGCTGGGCCGATTGCGCTCAAATTTGGTACACGGCTGGGGACCGGTTAGTAGGGTGCCATGCAAAAGTCAGTTTGGACCCCGTTTGCACGTGCGCACGTGCAGAATGCCGCTTCCAGATCTCAGGGACGGCTGGGCCGATTGCGTTCAAATTTGGCACACTGCTAGCGACCGGTTAGAAGTGTGCTTTGCACAAGCCCCGTTGGAAGTACCCTCTCGCCCTTCCGCACGTGCAGGGCTCACTATCTCTCTCGCTCGTTCTTCGCCCAAAAGGCGTTTTACTGGTAACGGTTAGTTCACTGAAAATTGCTGCACATGCCCCACGGTGCATTGTAAATCTCGTAAATCGCCCACGTCAATCAGTGGCCTCAATGGCCACTGCTCGTGCTTGACTGTTTTGGTCGCAATTCCAGTGATCACTTTCCAGGGCCAAGCATCGATGTCTTTCCAGAAGTAATTATGGAGCGAGCGAAGCGAGCGGATTCTTTCCTTAGACCCGCGCCCGGCTGGGGGTCCTGGATTTTCACGCCCTGCTGGGGGGTGTTTGAACACCCCCTCCCTTCTAACTCGGCTCCTGGGCCACGTAGCGATACGCGGAAGGCGGCGTTCGAAAGAGCGTCAAAAATAATGACGAAATCACTTCGGTCAATTTTTTGGTCAGGTCAAAGGTCAGGTCACCTGCAGAGGTCATTAAAGGCAAAATTTCGCCAATTTCCAGGTCGAATGTCGACAATTTCCTAGAAGCCAACGCATAACTTGGGAACCAATAGAGCTACAGCGTCGCAGAAAAGCGCATTCGATAGCCCTATTAACGCCCTTTCTGATTAATTCTCTCAGATTTGACCTAACTTCAACGGTTTTGCCTGCAGGGGGCAAAAACTGCAAAAATAACTGATTTTTTCGGAAACAGTTTTTCTGCAAAATAACTTTTGACCCAAGCCTTGTACGAGCTTACTTTTACCGGCATCGTGTTCCTCTCGTCAAGACGCATCGAATGAACTATAATTGACCTTGAAAGGTCAACTTGAAAATTTGACCTCAGGTCAAGGTCATGACCTGACCGGAAAGGGTCATGTTGCATATCTGTCGATCCGTATCGTCGAGCTGAACACATCTAAGTCGTTTTCATCGCTCTAGCATGCCTCTATCAAAAGTTATTTGCGAAAAACTGTTAGATTCCATTCGTGACCTTACATGACCTCAGGGGCATAAACAGGGGTCACGGACACCATTTTCATGTTCAGTGTGTCTAAACCACTTGTAATTCAGTGTTTGGGAGTGTTTATAATGTCTTTCGTCCAAAAGAGGCGCATTTCAATTTTCTCCCATTGACTTATAATGGAGAGGTCGCAAAATTGACCTGACCTTAGGTCATCGATATCAAAATTCTGAGACATACATTTTGTACATGCTATTGCTCTCAGCAATCGCTGAAAGTTTCAAAGCAATCGGTCACTCAGTGTAGCTATGGCAGACATTGAAACTTTTTATGAGGTGAGGTCACTTCAAGTGACCTGGTGACCTGACCTTGAATGACCTTGGTCTGAAATTTTCACAACATGTGTAGAATTGATGCATGATAACGCCGTTTTTGAGATATTCGCGAAAAAACACAAGAGGGGTGTTCAAACACCCCCCCCCCCCCCCCAGCAGGGCGCGGGTTAACGGAAATTTCTGAGTATGAGCGGCCGGCCGGCCGGCCGTGCGGACGCTTTTGCGAGGCTTATATCTCAGCAACCACTTGACCGATTTACATGCGGCAATTTTTGTAGGGTAGCTTCATTCCTTCTACCAGGTATTATACTATTCCTGATGCATGTGGGTGACCCCTTATGCGCGTGCCACGTGCAAAACGAAGAGGTGTCAGTTTTGTAATTGCTGCAATATCTCGGTAACTACTGGGCCGATGGCGCTGAAAGTTGGCATGTAGGTAGGCACCCACTAGGCACTGCATACCCCTGTGCCAGAGTTGGGGTGCTGCTGCACGTGCGCACGTGCAGAGGTCATTTCCAGATCTCGAGAACGGCTCGACCGATTGCGCTCAAATTTGGTACACAGTTAGGGACCGGTTAGTAGGGTGCCGTGCACAAGTCAGTTGGGACTCATTTTGCACGTGCGCACGTGCAGGGTGCCGCTTCCAGATCTCGAGAACGGCTGGGCCGATTGTGCCCAAATTTGGCACATCGCTAGAGACCGGTTAGTAGGGTGCCGTGCAAAAGTCAGTTGGAGGTACCCCTCGCAATTTCGCACGTGCAAGGCCCACCCTCTCGCTCTCGCTCGCTCCGTTAGTCGCCCCAAAAGGCGTTGGTATTTTTATGACCATTTACCACTACCAGACCATCGCTTTTACGGATACCTACCTACCGCGGGGACTCCTCACAATTGATCAAATATTTGGTGATCGGTACCGTTCCCGACGACCAGCCATGGAAAAAATTATTTGCTATGCTTCTGTCTCTTGTCATGGGACCAAGAACAGTACTGAAACTAAAACTCGAAATGTTTCGAATGCCTCTCAGCTCCGACTATGGGAACTGAAGGGCGCTTTGCTGTTAGGAGACACAAAACACCATTACATCATGACTTACTGGGGGAAGCAAAGATTCCATTTAATGGAGGAGCTCATGCAATCAGTGTAAGCATTCGGCATCCATTCACACAGAGTGCACGACGGCACTATCTGATTCCAATCCTCCGACGACAAATTTGTCCGATCACATTACCGCAACCCTAAGCGGCAGCGGTGACGGAGCCAGTTTCACGAACGACGAGGAAAACATCATTCATAGGGGACACTGAGGACAGTGGTTACGGTCAGGGAATGTCGGGTACTGTTCAGAAAATATGGCGGCCGATCAGAAGGAATTCCATTTCATGATCCACCACACATTCTCCTAACGACCCGACAAAAAACTCATTTTCACTACCTTATACCAGTTACTTACGAAACACACACCAGCTAATTACGAAACACAAACAATTTATTGACAACATAGAACAAAAGTTCATCGCAGGTACTCAGTTAACTCATGCCGAACCGGCCGGTCGCTCCCAAGACAGACTGCTCGTTAAAATGGCCGAATTCATCCCTAGTGGTGGCGCAAAGAGTTAAAATCGCCGTGGCATGACCGAGTGTCGAACGTTAAGAGATCAAACGGCACGCAGCAGCACATTGTCAAATTTGAAAATTTGTGTCAAAGGCTAAAAACGTTCTTCAGCTGCTGATCACGGGCACAGCACTCCCGCCCAGCGGATATTACGAGCACGCCATTTCCAATACTCGTCGCCACGGTTCGAATTCATCGCGAGCGCCTACTGCAAGCTATCGCCGCACCAGTCCAGTCTCTGAGCCCATCACATAGCGGGTGGGACTTCCCCTCACGGCGCGTGGTGGGAACGCACCCCTCCTTACTTCACGTGATGCCGACCAAATCCCGAGCGTCCCGTCCGAGCCGGTCCAGCTATCACGCCGGTCACCGGTCAGCGGCCGCGGGGTGTTTCGTGCTGACGTTACGAGGGTCCGGCGCCCGAGCTGCCGTCGTACTGTGACTTGTTCTTCAGCAGGAACGTCGCCAGAAACTCGATCGGATCGGGTGGCCTGCCAGGAGCGGGAGAAGGCGTGTAAGAGGCGGGAGTGCGAACAATGGTAGAGCGAGAACGGCCATTGGAAGGCACAAAGATGCGCATACATAGAGCAGCATAGGCATTCATCCGCCAAAGTTTGCTCTTCAGGAGAGGGAGGCTGGCGAGAATTACTTAAATACACCTTTTTAATTCACTTGGTACGTGAAGATAAGGTACAGATGACTACCTCTACGACGCAACATCGTCAAAACTGCATGCACATCACCCAAATCTAACACACTATGACACTACACAGTCACACGCGTTCCGCCCGGCGCTCGCTGAGCTGGGACGGTGAGAGAGCTATGGTGAGTGGGGGTTGGGTGGGGGATGGGGGGCTGACCTCTCCTTGGAGAGCACCGAGAGTGCCTGCTGCAGCGCCGGCACCACCGTCTGATCGAGGTACTGACGTGTCGGCAGTGACTGCAGGTCCAGACGCGACTTTTTGGCGCCGTTCTCAGAGGCCTTCTCCGCCGCCACCGCCTTCTGGTGGATACAACGGGAAATAGTGGTTACGTGTCTGGCCGCCAGATCAGCGATAGAAGCAGTCCGCGGCGGTATCACAATATTTTTAGCAGCGATCTGCCTGGATAACACGGTCTGCGATAAAAGTTCAGTAGTAGAAATATAATCAAAGGTAGAATTGAAGCATAACTAGGCTGTCTATCCTAAAAAGCAAAAGATTATCAAAATTTCGCAATTAGCATAGAAACTATAAAGAAAAAGAAACTATACACACAGCATACACTGAACAAATTATAAGCCATGCAAGAGTGTGGCATAGAGCAAAAGGTACCTGCACACTTTCTGGAACAATGTCCTGGCTTGATCCACCACTCCCAACCATCTTTGATTGATCTTGCAGCAGTAGGTACTCTGGAACAATAAGTAGATTTTGTGACCAAAAATACTAAATTCATCTTACATCATAGCATACTGAATTTACTGATGGCTAGGTAGGGTAGGTACAGTACCTTCCCAAAAGTCACAATTTTTAACTGGAAAGGTTGACATCTTCTTGTAGTCATGTTCACCATCCTATCATGACTCTAAGAATAGCACTAAAAGCCAGGCAGGACAGGGCCATTTAGGCAATTACATTACTTCCAAGTCCATATAAGATATGTTTCACCGGCAGTGAGATTTGATGTCATGCATTATTATTTTATCAGGTTACTCTGGCAGGCACCTGAATTTAGATAAGATCAGTTCAGTATGAACCATGGTACCTAGTAGTAGCTTAACAACATTTTGAAACCATAATAATGTGATCATGCAGTGCCAAGTGAATGTAATGTTGCTGCTATCCCGTAGCATTTTGAAGAAATTTGAGTTGCCCAGACTATCTTGCAGCCCAAAACATACCTATCCACATCCCACTTTCGACTACCTACAAGCTGAGCTGCCTATCATCTCAACAAAAACAATATGAAAATTCATTGTAGGTCAACTACATATATGCCTGAAAGGCAGACTTAAAGGTAGTGTGCCACCTTTGAATGATTTCCCATTCTATTTTTCCTAGGATAAGAAGCTTCTGTTTTTACCTAATATCGCAAAAAAAAATCAAAAATGGGCCTAAAATAGTGCTTTTTTCGCCTAAAAGTTTATCGGTTTTTCGATATGTATAGCAACTGTAGTGGGCTGACCTGCAAACAGGCGTCGGCAACAATCACGAATGCGGCGCACATGTGACAATAAGCAAAGGTCATTATAGAGTTACGACGTACGGGAATGAGTTATCAGCTGTCTAATCGTAGACAACACAATGTCGAATTTAAACTGTAAGCCTGTATTGGTATTGTTTCTTTAATTTGTCTGTCGAACATTAATTCATGGTTGGAAATATTATTTTATGTAAAATAATTGATATGAAACAGCCGTCTCTAAAGTTATGACCCCATCTCACCACATGAAAGTGGCAGAAATGACAATGATCAGCTGACGCATTTTTCTTGGCCGAAGTCAGAGCGCGCGGCCCGACGCACCACCACCGCGCCCAAAGCCAGGGCCCCGGTAACGTGAGGTAGCCGAGTCGGGGCAGCGTGCGCTGACCCAAGCCGGGGCCGCGGCTTTGGGCGCGATCTACCGCATCCCCGCGGGCAGCCCCGGGCTATCACATGACACCGGGAGGACGCGCGGCCCCGGCTTGGGTCAGCGCACGCTGCCCCGACTCGGCTACCTCACGTTACCGGGGCCCTGGCTTTGGGCGCGGTCTACCGCACCACCTAACAGGCGTGTTCGAAACCGCAGGAGATGATGATGAACGGGTTTATCGAAACTTGATTGGATGAGCCTATCGGTAATAGCGATTTCAGTGTGTGCATTTATTGTTCATAGTGGTGTGAAATGTGGTTGGGGTACGACCGACAACCCGTCGGGGCGAATTTCGCACTGGGGTACTCAAAATTTGAAGAATTTAAGACGTTTCCATGAGTTTTGAAGGTATGGATAAGTTCTAAAAATCCGGTTCTCCTTATCTGGGCCATTAACTCCATACGGTCCAGGAAAGCTGGCACACTACCTTTAACTAAAATGGTGACAGCTATGGAGCAAAATCATGAGCCATCTGATGCAGCTGAAGCATATAGTTCAGCACCAATAACCAAAATATGGACAATATGGTGTTGTGGTCAGGTGTGTTGTGCAAGTTGCCTGTGCTTACATAGGTAGGTATGTTCCCATGATCGGATGAAATGAATGGCATTATTATTGTTTTAAAAGTGCCTACAGCCTACATAGCATGCTTGTCTAGCATACAAACTACCCCATCATTTGATGTCTCTAGGACAACAAAGATTCTATGCCATACAGCCAATCATGTTCCATAACCGAAGCCGAGCCCCCGCTGACCTTGTACGGGATTGGCCAGACGACTTAGAATCTTCCTCGTCCTAGACATCGAACGCAGTGTTAGTTACAAAGCAGCCCATGCTTGGCCCATGCCCGACCAATTCCAATTCAGAATGGTGCCTGATTATATCAATATTTGCATTTTGCAGCACAAAGATACAACTCAAGTCCGAGGCTCCAAAGAAGATAATTCAAACTGTGAACCCACTCTAAAGCCTTGGGACGCACAAAAAATGGGTAAAAGTATACATTGAGTCCGAGTGACTGTTCAACGATAAAGTTTTCATATTCTTACATTATTTGACATCCTGAATCCAAAAATGATACCTACTTATATGCCTTGGAAATAAAAGAAAAAACATAATAATTTTTTTGCTGTTACGTATTTGTATCAACAGCGTCACAATTGTCCACTCGGACCTAATATATACTAATACCCAAAAAATGTCTTCAGATACAATTTGAATTCGAATGGTAATCCCTCACACTCAGCCTACTACAAACCTCCACATCCACAACAATTCGAAAGAGCTCGTTGTTGTTGAAGAGTAAGAACGGGAGTGTCTAAAAAGCAGACAAGATTAGCAGACGAGCCCATGCTCAGTAACTACTAGACCGATTTCAATGAAACCTTCACCATTAGACGCGCCGTGGTCAGAAACGGTGCCGTTTATGATAATTTTTTGATTGGTCCACCCTAAATGGTCCAAATCGGTCCAAAATCTCTAAAATCTGTTGCAGACGAGCCCATGCTCCGAAACTACTGGACCGATTTCGATGAAACCTTCACCATTCGACGCGCTGTGGTCTGTAACGGTGCCGCTTTTGGATAATTTTTTTATTGGTCCACCATAAGTGGTCCAAAATCCAAATCGGTTCAAGTACAGCCCAAAAATACGTTTTCACGTAGTGAGCCGATGAGTTGGTTTCCGCAGCGCGGAGGTGCCCTAGCCTTCCAGGCGGTGGGGGGCATTCCCCCCCCCTTTAGTTTTTTTCGATATATCTCGAGAACCGCTGCGCCGATCGTCACCAAATTCTCAGTACCCTCCCGGGAGTAGCTAGCACACATGGTGACCAAATTTTTTTCCAAAAGCTATGATAGGTTGGCCGCTAATGACGTCAGAGTGACGTCATTTCTGCCATTTTCGACCCAAAAAAGGTTTCGCGGGAAGAGCTGTCAGGCCTACAGCTTTAGAGATACAGAAAAATGGTTCGACATAAAAGGTGTAGAATTAGGAGGGCTACAAAACTGCTATTTCAGTTTTTCGAATTTTTTGGATTTTGACCCCCAAAAATAGATTTAGAAATAGAAAAGATTAGAATAATTATTTTATTAGAAAAAATAGAAAAGATTAGAAATAGAAAAATAGATTTTTTGAATAAAGTAGCCGAAAAATCTAAAAAGTTTTTTGAATTTCAAAAAAAATGGAACATATGTGATAGTCCCTACCATCTTCTATCTACATACCAAATTTGAGATTGATACCTATTTTTTTGGCCAAGTTATAGCGAAAAAAACTGTTCAAAATTGATGACGTCAAATTGTCAAGCTCAATTTTTAGCAATTCTAGACCTCGTAGCGCAAAACCAAGACCACCATTAGACTCCCCGTGACATAGGCGTAGGAACAGGGGGGGCCAGGTGGGCAAGTGCCCACCCACTTTTCGAGGTGGGGGGGCCAACCATGTGTTTTGGCCCACCCACTTTTTACTCGAGGCCCCTCGTCTCGATTTGAGAGGACGTCGTCACCTTCCAGAATAAACAAACTCGGTAAAAATAAGTTCCACGAATCCCCACGCACGGACTCCAAGGGGCCGTGATGGATCCAACGAGGCCCTCTGTTCATCTTGTCAGTCGAAGCCCCTGAGACTGATGGCCTGAGAGGCCCTAGTGGATCTGAGGAGGCCCTAATATACACACTGGTCTGGGGAGGCCCCTGACACTGGCGGTCTGGGAGGTCCCTCCATCCACACTAGTCAGAATAGGCCCCTGACACTGGCGATCTAGCCGAGGCCCCCTACCCTCACTAGTCAGAGGAGGCCCCTCTATCCTCAATAGTCAGAAGAGGCCCTTGAGACTGATGGTCTAAGAGGCCTATCCATCTACACTGTAGTCAGAGGAGGCCCCTGAGACTGATGACCTGAGAGGCCCTTATAATCACACCAGGCAGAAGAGGCCCATGAGACTGATGGACTGAGAGGCCCTTATATTCATACTGGCCACAGGAGACCCCCAAAACTTTCGGTCTGGGAGGTCCTCAATCCGGCACCAGTCAGAAGAGTCCCCTGAGACTGATGGCCTGGGAAGCCCTTATATTCACACTAGGCAGAGGAGGCCCCTGAGATTGATGGTATGAGAGGCCCTCATATTCACACCAGTCAGAAGAGGCCCCCGAGGCTGATGGCTGTGAGGCCCTTCTGTTCATATAACTGGCCACTGGAGGCCCCTGAAACCGGTGGTCTGGGAGGGCCCTCTATCCAAACTAGTCAGAAGAGGCTCCTGAGACAGATGGTGTGAGAGGCTCTTATATTCATACTGGCTACAAGAGGCCCCTGAGACTGATAGTCAGAGAGGTCCACTCCTAATGAATCTGAGGGGGGCCTTCTATCCACATTTACACTTTTCTAGGGAGGCCCCCGAGACTGATGGTCTGAGAGGCCCTTTTATTTATACTGTCCACAGGAGCCCCCTGATATAAATGGTCTGAGAGGCTCTTTTATTTATACTAACCAGAAAAGGCCCCTAGGTAGGATTGATGGTCTAACAGGCCCTTCTATCTATACTAGCCAGAGGAGGCCCATGAGACTGATTGTCTGAGAGGCCCTTCTATTCAAACTAGGCAGATGAGGCCCCTGAGAATGATAGTCCGAAGAGCCATGCGGCGGCAACTGGCCGTGGCCATATTTCGGCCCGGTGGGGCCCCACAGAGCTCATGAGAGCACCTCAAGGGCTCCTAAGTAGACACGCTTATCCCCATAAGGGTGCCACGCCGGCTTCTGAAGGCTCCTTGCAGGCATCTAAGGGCCCTTTCCGGCCTCTAATGGCTCCACCCGCCTGTGATGGCTCCACACCAGTGTTTATGAGCGTCACACAGCGGCGCCTTTGAGGGTCATACTAGTGTCTCTTAGGGCCCTATATCGGTGGCTCTGGGGTCCCCACACGGCGCCTCTGTGGGCCACCACACCTGTGCATCTCAAGGCTCTATAGGTACATCTGAAGGACCCACACCGACACCTCGGAGGGCCCCACACCAGTATCTCGGAGCTCTGAAGGCCCCACACCGGTGACTCTGAGGACTCACCGGCTCCTGAGAGCACCATGTTGATGTCTAACGGCTCCACAAGGCCACTGAAGGCACCACACAAGTTCTCACTGAGCTCTAATGTCCATGTACCGGTCTCTGAGGGATTTAAGCCAGCGCATTCATAGCTCCACACCAGCAATTGTAAGGGCTTCACACTGAAGTATCTGAGGGTTCCACACCGGTGTCTCTAAGGGCCACATACCGGCATCTCTGAGGGCCCCATACCGGCGTCTCCGAGGGTCCACATCTGGCGGGCACCCATCAGCGACTGAAGGTCCCACACTGTCGACTCCGAGAGCCCCATCTGCGTCTGGGAGCAACATGCCGTCTCTAAGAACCACAGCGGCTCCTCCGTACGAAAGATGGGCGTCTGCATGCCAAAGGGGAGCGGTTCTGAGACAGTAGGGCACCTACGTGCAATATCTAGAGGGGCGCCTATGAAGCCCATAGGGGCACCTCAATGCGCAAGAGGGGCGCCTCTGAGGCCTACATAATATATGGGCGTCCACATGCAATAGAGGTCTGCATTGATCAATGCCATGGGGGTGCATTCCTAAGAAACATGGGCGCCGGCATGGCAAAGAGAGGCGCCTTCAAGTGTCCATAAAAGAGAGACGCCTATGATAAGCGCACATTGTATGCGACAACGGGGCGACTGTGGGACATATAGGATGTCTCTGATGACTATACATAGGGCGCTTATATGCCAAAGAGGGCGCCTATGAAGCTAATGGGGGCACCTGGGAAACGAGGAAGACATTTGTGTAAGGGTTTTCAGGGGTCATGCGCCGTTTGCGGCAAATAGATTCTAAAAAAAATCGGAGGGGGAATAAGTTTTAAAAATGGTGCGGACTTTCCGCACTGTTCGCTTAAGCGGTTACGCCCCTGGGTACATCTGCCCGAGCCCCGATCTCAGAAGCTAGATTTGGAGGTCATACTTGAAAGTAGCCAGCAGGACGAGGCAAAAGTTGGAGGCCCCTGAAAATAGGAGGCCCCTGAAAAAGGAGGCCCCTTGACAGGGTGGCCCACCCACTTTTCATGACGTTCCTACGCCCGTGCCCCGTGACGAGTTGCATCGAATCAATAGGGTAAAGTGCCTAATTAGCGACCCCCTTAATTTGAACCGTCATTGCTCACGCTCTGTGGGTGCCACTGTATTACTGGCTTGATTTTCGGAGAGATCGTTCATTTTTCTATTAAAATATAGTCATTTTCTGCCCCAATATTCACTAACTTATCTGTAGTGAGCATGTTGACAAACCATTGCAAAAAAAAAACGCTAATAGGGAACTCTTCCCGAATAGCGACCGGGGAGGGTCGCTAATAAGTCTATGGGTTTCCCCACATTAAAAATGACAAAAAATGCGACGCCTGAAAAGATGAAATATGATCTCAAAAAGGTAACCTATACGCATAGCACTCAATCACTCGAACAGGAACGTTTATCCAACACATTTACGTAAGTAAAAACTTAGGTATCACGTGATGCACCGAAGGCGAAAAGAAGGCGGAAACCCAGATTTTGCGGGCTATCTCGTATGATATTCGAGGTCCGCGCTGAATTTGGCACCCCTGCAGTCGGTGACGACATTTGGCATCCCCTGCCACACATTGCAAGCTTCAGCAACACCTCATTTTCATTTCTCTCTTTTCCCCTTTCTTTCCCTTCTTGAGCTATTTGCGACCATGTCAGGCGCAAATAGGAAATATGCGTTGCGACACATTTTTAACCGCCATGCTGTGCACAGTTGAGCGATTCACTATGGGAAAACGGCAATCAATTGAAAAAGGAATGTCGATTCAAAATAAAAAAGGTGCATCATCCTAATGTGCATCGCCTTTCATCAGAGAGGGCCCAAACACACACGTTTTGGATAAGAAACTTAACATTTTTATTTAAACTCACCTGAAACGTCCCACCAGAAACATCGACGACCGGGAAATAATTTATTTTGATAATTCCAAAGTATAGCTGACCTTTTGACGATGTTTGTACCCCGTTTTCTCCTGCCAGTTTTTCTGTAGGGAGGTAGGTCGCAAATCGGAAAGGGTCGCTAATTAGGCACCTTACCCTACCCATTTTATGCAAAAATATCAACTTTGAAATTTGACCTTTTTTGATCTGACCTTGACCTGACATCCACCAGAAAGTGACCTAAACCGTGCCTGATGGTCTTATAACCAACACCATTGAGTTGGAAATGAAAAACTGGCCATAAAACATGCATCGCATGACCTTAGTAAAGTTGGGCTCATGTGGTGACCCTTGGTGACCTTTGGTGACCTGACCTGTGACCTGGATCCAAATGGGGGGCAAATGCCCCCCTCGACCGCCCGAAATCAACGAAAATTTGCGTTTTTTTCGAGAATAAAGCGAAAACCAAACAGCTTTATGGGGGAAAGTTTGTTTTAAACTGCACCATAGGGTTGTTCAAAAAAAACCGAATTTTGGAAAAGTATACGGGCTCATGGCTCGTGTGGTGAGGTATTCTTTTCTGAGTCCAACGATGTCCTCTTTTCCGAAAAATATTAACTGCTTCATGCTCCCCAAACGGCTTGAAGAGGAGGATGTTACGCCCGGCGACCGGCCGGTGTCAATAAGGGCGAGAATTCGATGCCGCGCGCCGGCGGAGGCGCCTTATCGGCACCGCGCGCCACGACATCTACCGGGCGGCCGGCCGACCGGTGTAAGGGAATGAATGAGTGGTCTTCTTTCACATGATAGGGGTGCGCTAGCCCATATTGTCGGAGTGGAAAGTTTCAGTGCAGCATCGGTACCTCTGCCGCAGTGTTCTGTGTCGATGCCCGATGGTTCAGAAAAAAGCCAAGCAGAACTAAGAAAAGACTCAATGCTTCTGGCTAGTTCACTATAAACATCTCGTTTCGAGAATACAGCGCGGCGTTTCACGGCCGCTGCTACCAAGATTGCTGCTACCACGCTGCCGGCAGGCTGACTGACTACATCGTCTGAGTTTGCTGATATCTCCATGGACACCCAATTTGACACGTAGGCTGCTAGCGAGCAGTAATCGCCACGCACTTTGAGAATGTGGATCGATCATGGTTGTTCAATACAAAAGCGCCCGTGAATGAAACAGGACCCAGCTGCCACTCAACATACCATATCGCGTTGTTCATGAGTCAAGACGCGAACTCTGAGCAATAACACAGCTCTTTGCACTGCTGTCGACAACTTACATTGCTTTTAGACGGTGGCTTGCAGCCCACATATGCTGTTGCCAACGGTATGCGAAAATTTGAAGTTTACTAAGAACAGCAGGAGCTGGCAATGTGCAAGGACAGAATATGGAGACCCCGGCATCGACGTTAGGTTTAACCTACATTAGCACTTAGCAGTTAAAAAAAGGATGACATGCCCGGGAATGACGCGGTGGCCGCCCTGACATCGTGACGAAGTTGGGTGTGAGTAGAGACAATAGCTGGAGTACACATAATGTCAAGCGCCCATCAATCCAACCCTTCGGGCAGCAGCAGCATCAGCAGCCCGGCCATGTCCACCGATGCCGCTCAAGATCCGATCCAGAGCCGGCAGAGAGCACGGCTCTGCCCTGACCTGACACATATCCCCGGCGTGTCATGACGGACAGACCATTACCTCGCCTGTATAAATACAATGTATACAGTATACCTAACTTACCAATTTCTAAGTCTCATGTTGAGGCAAGAAGTGATCAGCGTCCAGTTCTACTTCGACGAAGACTCGTATTCAGACCTGGCAAAGAGAGCACGGCTCTGCCCTGTTTCCGCGGCTTCTAATGGCCACATCGATACGAGACAGCTCCAATCGTCTGTTTTACCTAACTACAAAACCAGGTTGTTGTGTTGCGATTAGCACGATACAATTGTTGCGTACAGCGTAGATATTTGTTAAATGCGTAATTAATTAGAAATAGGAAAAGTAAACATTGCCATCGTCATTCGCCAAACAGGCGATGTCAAGCATAAGTCTGTCCGTCATGACACGCCGGGGATGTGTGTCAGGTCAGGGCGGCTCTGCCCTGGGGGATGTGTGACGCGCTCTATGCCGGCTCTGGATTCGGGTCTTGAACGACACCGGCGCGGTGGGCACGGCCGGCTGCCGGTGCCGCTGCTGGATTGAGCGACACAATTGATTTATATGTGTACTCACTACTCCCGCTATTGTCTCTACTCAATTCGTCACACTGTAAGGGTGGCCAAACTGTCATTCCCAGACATGTTATCTTTTCTTTCGAACTGCTAATCTAAGTAAAACAAACGTCAATCCTTGCAGCTTGATGAATAAACAAAGCGATATGTTACGCTAAGGAGGCAGCTGTATTCTGTAAACGGAATGTTTCGAGTGAATTACCCAGAAGCGTTGAGTCTTTTCTTAGTTCTGTTTGGCTTATTTTCTGAACAATCGACACAGAACAACGCGGCAGAGGTACCGATGCTGCACTGAAACTTTCCGCTCCGACAACATGGGCTAGCGCACCCCTATCCCCCTATCATGTGAAAGAAGACCACGCATTTTATTCCCTCCCACCACTGGCCGGCCGGCCGCCCGGTAGATGTCGTGGCGCGCGGTGCCGATAAGGCGCCTCCGCCGGCGCGCGGCGGCGAATTCTCGCCCTTATTGACACCGGCCGGTCGCCGGGCGTGACATGGTCCTCTTCAAGCCGTTTGGGGAGCATGAAGCAGTTAATATTTTTCGGAAAAAAGGGCATCGTTGGACTCAGAAAAGAATACCTCACCACACGAGCCATGAGCCCGTATACTTTTCCAAAATTCGATTTTTTTGAACAACCCTAACTGCACCACAGTGCGTAAGGAATATAAATTTTTGGAAGTTAAAGGAAATAGTTCACTTTTAACATGGGGTTTGGAACTGGAATAGCAGTTTTGTTGCTTGCGCTGAGACTAGCACAAATCAGAAGCTTTTACGGCCCAACGATCACCCTAGACGAAGATATTCCATTTTTCGTTCCGAAAAGAGTGCCTTGCAGAGGAATGCGTGCCTTGCTGAGGAATGCAGTCACGTCATCGTCAGCCAATCAGAATGCTGCTTACAGCCGATGGGTTTGTCCTACGCAATATGATTGGTCAACGCGTAATAAGCTTACGCGTCAAACATTATTTTATATAGAATATAGTTCTTCTTATACTAAAATATAGAAAATAATCCTTTTTACAAAAACTTTTTGTTTTATTTTCTGATCATTTTGAGCATAAAAAACATAAATCCATAGCAAAATACTAATTTCAGGAAAGTGAACTATTTCCTTTAAGTTTGTGAAACTTTTTTGGGGCTGCCCCGGCAGCGTCCAAGGCCGCCTTTGGATCCGCCAGTGTCGGCATAGAAAAAAGAGGTTAGGGTGGCCGCTTTATCCCGGTCTCCCCTAAACATCAAACAGGTCAAGAGATCTCTCGGCGGGGAAGGGTGATTAGTGATTATGTTTCTGTTCACAGGTTTGGCCCTGGCGAGTAAATGCTCCAGGAGAAAGGAGAAGCAAATCCAGGAGAAGCGGAAGTCGGGAGGATGGCCCGTGTCGGTCTGAGGTCGGGCTGGATCGCGAGATCGGGCCTCTGCGGCCCCCGTGGGAGGATGGCGTGCCAGCTCGCGTGCGGGACGGTGTCTCGACGAACCCTGGCCGACATCTGCACGTTGGGAGGTGCGGAGACGGCATGGAGGCGGATCTTCGGCTCCCGTTACGTCGACGAAGCTGTCGCCGAGGAGTAAGTAAGAAAGTAAGTAGAGTAAAGGCCTGGCTACACTATGCGTTTTCTTCGTGCGTTTTTTGCGTGTTTGCGTGTTTTGCGTGATATAGTTCTAGAAAAAAGAACGATATTACGTTTTTGTGATGTTTTTCACCTTAAATTTTAGTTACATAAGAGTTATATTAGCTTTTGTATATAACCAAAGTAAAAATTATATTGTTTATAACTTTTTTCCTAGAACGATATTACGCAAAACACGCAAACCTGCAAAAACGCACGCAGAAAACGCATAGTGTAGCCAGGCCTTAAATGCTGCTAAGGACAGGTGACGACGGATCAGGTGCCACGCCGGTGTACAGTCCGGGGCGCAAAGGACTGGTACAGGAGCCGCGCCGAGAGCGTCCCGCACCTCAGAAGAGACCAGACAGTGGCGGCGCCACCCGCCGAGTGCCAGACACCGAGTGGCATCCCGCGTGGCAATCCGCGGTCGTCAGGGGGCCCCTTTAGTTATCCTACACCTACTATCCTGGGAGCACCTTCATCACGGCTGGTGTGAACAGGGCATGAGCCACATGCATCCTAGCAGCGTCTGAGCTTCTGATACAATAGACCAATTATCATTGAACTTCTATTTTCTGCAGTGGCGGATCCAGGGGGGGGCAAAATGGGCATTTGCCCCCCCCCCAAACGGCATGATTTTAACATTACGCCTATGGACGATGCATGGTAAGAATCGATACATTTTTATGGTTTGCCCCCCCCCCCCCCAAACCTCTGAGCTGGATCCGCCTCTGATTTTCTGGACATCTATACCCCAATATAGCATCTGAAAGAGAAACCGAGCGACCGAAGTGCTACTTTCCGTGGACAATGAACTAATAGTGCAATGACGATATCGCGTACAACGATTATAATTGATGCGAACCATGAAATGGCAATAACTCGAGCTGAGTTATCGCTGCGGTGTGACAAAGGGCACTCAAGAACTGCAACTCGTGCAGCGGATCGAGTATCGACGTTCCCAAATGGTGCCAACAGGCACAAGTGTTACACTACACCGCAGGGAAAAGCCTATAAAAGTGTCCTTATGGGTAACAACGTTGACATTTTTCATATCACTAGATGATGTTCCCGAGCATGGAAACCAAACCCGCTCATCTGCATTGGCATATACAATTGAGTTTGCTCGGTGTTTTTAGGTACATACGATAATGATGATTACGGAGCGAGCGAAGCGAGCGTAGTCTTTCCTTAGATTAACGGAAATTTCTGAGTATGAGCGGCCGGCCGGCCGGCCGGCCGGCCGGCCGTGGTCACGCTTCTGCGAGGCTCATATCTCAGCAACCACTTGACCGATTTACACGCGGTAATTTTTGTAGGGTAGCTTCATTCCTTCTACCAAGTATTGGACTATTCCCGATGCATGTGGGTGACCCCTTATGCACGTGCCACGTGCAAAACGAAGAGGTGTCCGTTTTGTAATTGTTGCAATATCTCGGTAACTACTTGGCCGATTGCGCTGAAAGTTGGCATGTAGGTAGGCACCCACTAGGCACTGCATATCCATGTGCCAGAGTTGGGGTGCTGCTGCACGTGCGCACGTGCAGGGGTCGTTTCCAGATCTCGAGAACGGCTCGACCGATTGCGCTGAAATTTAGTACACAGCTAGGGACCGGTTAGTAGGGTGCCGTGCACAAGTCAGTTGGGACCCATTTTGCACGTGCGCACGTGCAGGGTGCCGCTTCCAGATCTCGAGAGCGGCTGGGCCGATTGTGCCCAAATTTGGCACGTCGCTAGAGACCGGTTAGTAGGGTGCCGTGCACAAGTCAGTTGGAGGTACCGCCCTCGCAATTTCGCACGTGCAAGGCCCACCCTCTCGCTCGCTCCGTTAGTCGCCCCAAAAGGCGTTATACTGGTTAGATAGGTTTTATACGCGGTGACACAAGTACGTAGTTTCAAGTATACAATAGTTCGCGGTGAGGGTATTTGGATATGTAATACCTATGTATTATTTATGTTGTGAGTGACACAAGTAGTTTTAAGCACGGTTCGATAATTGGGGTGATGGTACTTAGATAATAGATATGTATTATACGGTGACACATCTAGTTTTCATACGGTATAACGATAATTGCTGACTAGATTAAGCGTAGCGGGTATAGCGTGACAACCAGGGATGCGGAGCCGTGGAAATTTCAGACGGTTCCGGGTTCACCGTGCATTTTCAAAATATTCTCGTATTTTTACAAATGTATACCCATACATTTCATACTCCTACGGTTGTCCGACCCAAGATGAGCAATTATGAGTCCAGGTGTATGAATGAGCCCATGTGCTACCAGACTATAATGTGAATGAAGTGTGAATGTGTGAATAGTGTGAATGAATGAATGTGATGAATAATGTGATGTGATGTGATGATGTGTGATGTGATGAATAGTGTGAGTAATGTGAATGAATTATAGTGTGAATGAAGTCCACATCAACAGTGAACACATTGTATATGATTATCATCAATCCACGTACGTTCCTCGCTATTGTGCGCTCGTAAGTTGTTCGCAACGTTCCTCGCTATCCCCGAGTGCACTAAACAACTTTGCCTTATCACGATATTTGTCAAATTCAACACTTTTGTCTAAAATATGTCAGAAGTAGCATACTAAATGAAGTGACTTTTCAACTCCGCCGGGATTTTTTTTTTTTTTTTTGACTTTTTCTGTCATGCTCGACACAGACAGTCGCAAGTGACTGCAGGGGTACTGAATGACTGCTTGTTCAATGACACGGAAACGACCGACCAACGGACTACTCCGCTACCGTTCTATGGAGAGAATCGCTGACTATAACGTAGTAAGCATATAATTATAACGCAAAATATTCCTTACACATTTGCTTTCCTGCGAGACTGTTGAACCAGGCAACGTGCTGATTTCGACGCTGCCGTATGCAGAATCAATAGTGCATGCAATACCTATGCATTCAGCGATACATTTTTCTTGGCTTCTTTCATTGCTTTTGTCACAGTATTAAGTTTAATTCGAAAATTGAAAACATCAAGAATACTCAAAGAGGTGGGGCGGTAAAAAAAATCGAATCTGGGATTTTTCTGCCGAATTAGTGAACAGCACTCCAAAATGCATGAAATTAGATCTGGGAGCAAAATTTTCGAAACATTGCAAAACCGGTCGCCTAGTACCTATAATATAAGCCGTCTATATATATCTGCAATGCAGCAACATTTAGGGGAAGGAGGGTGAATTGCGCCACCTTAAGGAAAAACGCTGATTGTAAGAAAACCGCTGGAGATATAAGCATGCACTGGTAACCACTTCAAAGAGGAACTCATTAGCTACGATTTAAGAGCCTCCCGATCAATTAAGAATGTTTCGTTTGCTTCCGACAGCTGCTTTTCAGAAACATGCAAAAGGGCGCATTTACCGACAACTGCTGTAAATTGCGCCAGGGGGATGGCGCAATTAGAATCCAATTGCGCCCTATACTTAAACATGGCTAAGCGAATGAGACGGAATGCATACACCCCGGCAGTGTAATGTCATTGCGGCTTACTTAAACATTTATAATGTTAATCAGGCTGGATAAATAATAAATGTAGATATAAATCGCGATGTTTTTGCCCAGGTAAATAACTTTACATGTGTCCGTATGTTTGTAAAAGTGCAACGAAAACGTTTTATGTAACCGACTAGATATATGTGAAAGTATGGTTAAATTTTCAATCGTTTCTCTCAAAATTATTAATTTTTATCGTTGCGACAACTTGTTGACATCAGTTTTTACTTTTTGATCATAGCTGTCACCTCTCACGCCCGAGTCGATATTGAAAATGCCGTATTTTGTCAATTACACCACAAGTTGGCAGCCTAAATGGCAGCTGCATTATAAGTTTGACGAGAGAAATAATTTGCGGACTGGCGACAGCGGGCTGCTCCCCTGCCTGGCATTAAACTCCTTCTTTATTGCAATCAGTTAATGGTGTATTCATACTGTCGTGATACAATAGCTACACCATTATTCTATCTGCGCCCCCATGGTGCAATTGCCATGGGCGCAATTAGAATTGAGGTACTTTTTAATAAAAGCGTAGAAGTCATCATAAATATGCTGAAGGAAGTTTACTGTTTAAGTGAAATATAATGAAAAAATGGGCTTTCTTTCTAAATATCACTCTGAAAATCACACACGTATCACAGATTTTTATAGCCAACGGTTCAAAGTACTGCAAAAAAGCTAAGCAAACGCCGTAATATCTTTGATGGCGTAACTGAGCCCTGCTGATTGGCTTCGTCGGAGAGCTTGGGCCATAAAATGAACTATCAGGTGGTGAAAATATTGTTTTCGAACACAAAATTATAAACATGCCATTGAATTCGTGGGAATGTTGGTGGGCGCAATTGGTTAGGAGGGCGCAATACACCCACTTTCCCCTACTCGCACACACACATGCTATCCTACTATAGTAACTATACTATAGTAATTTGTTAGTGACAATATGTATTAACAAATGTACGTCGACTTTGTGTTCAGTTACTTACCAATACGGTGTAAGGGTAAAAAATGACAGCCCGATGACAGACGAGACGCCGTACAGTGTATAAAAGTCGCTACCTCGTTTGTCATTCTGTAAATAATTACTGAGTTACGGTTACGGCGAAAACGGTCACGGTTGCCGTCCGTGCAGGGCGGGGCGGGGCGGGGAGAGGCGGGGTGGCGAGTGTCGCCCAGCGCCGTCAGGCCGTCAGTCCGGTGGGTGCATCCATACACCTCGGCACACCGCACTTGGGTTCCGATTCCGCAGTCTGCACGCCAAATGGGTCGCCATTGCCGGACAACTGCTCCTGTCGCGCTCTGGAGCATCGCTCTCGGGTGAGTGAGCTGATCGGACGAGCCATAGACCTATGTTCCTACACCTACCCACCATTAGCGAGCGTTGTACTCACAGTGGTTCATGAACGGGCCTGCACACATTTTGAGGACACTCCCAACAACAGTAAAATCGTCGAATTTGGTTATTTTTTTAGTAAAATTAAAGGTCACCTACAAGTTTAGACAATCACACGAAAAATGACCACTAATGTGAAAAATATCAGCTGATATCTTCTCACATCAATGTTTTGTATGCTTCTTCGCGTGGCTAGTGAAGCCCATGAGCGTTTTGGCTAAATAATTGTCAGCGCAGCCGGCGGTTTTATGCTGTAAAAAGACTGTCTATTAAGACAATAGGACTACCAGAACGTCTGAATGAGATGTTCCTTATGACCAAGTGAGGAGACATTTTGTTATATACACACGATTATACACACGATTAATACACACGGTTAACACACACGATTAATCTCAAATGTTCTACAGAGTCGCGGCGGGCTTTTCAACCGTCAGCTGTCAAGAGGAGTACAATGAAACCAGTCTGTTTGGCTTCGACTACTCACAAATCCGACCGCCCGTTCCACCGGACGGTAAGTACCCCCATCTGCTCGAACGCGACACTTCCCTGCTTGGTGCCGAAACCACCCAATCCTGGAATAATGGCGACAACATGCCCAAATATAATTAGGTAATTTACCTGTCACACCACTTAAAGGGACCCTCCCACCTTAACATTAGTTTTGAGTTGAGATAGCCAAGTTTGCGGCCAGGCTCAGAAACCACCATTTATCCTGGTCGCAACCCCCGCAGCTTTATGGTGTTCAAGAAATTTCTTCCCTTTACCCACTTGCAGGGTGGGACCAGCGTGGTCCCTATCTCTTAACCATTACGGGAATCTGATGACGTCATCAGGCTTTCGAACGTCCGTTAAATGTTTGACTAAAACGTTTTGTAGCACGCGGTGGTATATGCTGCTTTGCGCGCAACAAATGCCGCACTTTCAAATAAAGTCGCTAGGAACAGCGGAGATCCCAAAAAGTAAACAAAAGTAAAAGTCTAATATCTTGAAAACCGGTGAATATTTTTCGATGAAATTTGGTAGATATTCGTTTTTGCTCTTTCTGAACCGAGCGACATCACTTTCATGCCAATTCATTAACTTTTTTGAAGGTGGGAGGGTCCCTTTAATCAGGGGTCACACCTACGGATTCATCTCAAGCGATACTCGATAGGAAAAATAGTGTAGTTGAAAATAAGTTGTAATTTTGCTCTTACAAAAGATTTTAATAATTGGTATTGATGCTCCTTTATGTACCTATGACAAGGAAAAACCAAGATTCTTTTACTACTCAGGTTGGTTCACTAGGGAAATAAAGGCGCCGTGGTGACGTCATCAGAGGAAATCCTTCACGTTCAAATGAAGGGGTCATTTGAATTGCTGATTTTGGCTCGATATAGTCCTTTTTTTTTTGTTTCAGCCCCATTTATCGTAATAAGGCAAAATCATTGTTACACTGGTACAACTTTTGATGACACATAATCCTTGTTTTTTTTCCTCCACCTCGCTCGAAAGATGATGAAATTTGCATGCATGCCTAATGCCTATGGGTGAAAGGAGATTCTACCGCCGTAGTGAGGCCACGGTAAAGGGATTCTGGAGCTCGTGAATGGGGTTGGGAAAATCAATACACTTTCGCTCACTTTACATTCAACTAAGATGTTTTATTCTTCTATCGTTTTATATTGTTTCACTCACCGTTTTTGAAACTTTGATAGTTTTTCTTTGAATCTATAGTGCAATGTAAGTACATTTAATGTGCATTGCATGATGATAATGGCATTGAATTCATAATACTTACATTAGGTAGGTCAAAATAAAATAAATATGAAGAAGAACCCCTGTTATTAAAGGGACCCTCCCACCTTAACATTAGATTTGAGTTGAGATAGCCAAAATGGGGTCCCTGGCTCACAATTACCGGTTTCGGCACTCACAACACCGAGAAATGCCTTAACCCTCGCCCTGGCAGGGCATTTTTCATAACACGGCCTGGCAGGGGGGGGTCGATGCGACCCCCCTCGCGATTGGCTCCTATGGCACCTAGAAACACCAAATTTGGTAGGTAGGTGGGCCCCCCGGAGTTCTCGCCCCTGTGCAAATTTGGTTGCTCTAGGTCAATATTTAGGGGGGTTTTGGGGGGTATAAATGTAAAAATTTCGCTAAAAACAGGTCAAAAGTTTTTCGCTTATAACTTTTGATCTAATTAAGATAGAGCAAAAAGAAAAGCACCAGTGAACTCAGCACGTCAAGGCGCGTCGAATGATATACTTTTTAGCTTGCTTAAGTGTACTTAAAGTTTTTTTCTTAAATTTTAAGTAAACTTAAATTAATAAATTAAGTTCAAGTTAACCAAATTGCATCATATCGCATATCATTTGATTCGGCTGATCACTAGGAACACAATGATACCATTTTTTAAGCTCTAGCGTCATTATGTGCCAAGTTATTGGCAAAAACGTCATTTGACCTCAGTTGACCTCATTTGACCTGACCCATGGATAAGTACACCAAACAAAGAAGCACCAAGTGACCTGCTGTTAAGTACCGTGGTTTCAAAGCACAAAAGTGATAAAACGAAGCGGATATCTCCAGTATTTTCCGAATTTAGTATTTTCCCATAGGCTTAACATTACGACGTAATGACCTCTAACTGACCTCAGGTCAGTGACCTAAAAAAAACCGGACTATATGTTATACAACTCGGTGAACTTAGCACATCCTGAAAGTTTGAAGGAAATCAGTCGAAAACTGTGAGTTGGACAGGTGCAAAAAGAAAATTGAAATTTGACCATGACCTTGTACCGGTTTTTCTGACCTGGTGACCTGACCCAAGGTCACCCGGACCTGAAATTTTCAGGTCATATGTAAAAAGGTTGCCCCATAGGCTGTGCCAAATTTGGCGGCGCTGCGCGCCGCCGTTTTTCCGCTATCTTCGAAAAACCTTAGGGGGGGTCGCATCGACCCCCCCCCCCCCCTGCCAGGGCGAGGGTTAAATCGGAAATATTGAATTTCAAAATTGCAGCATTTTGATTCAGAGGGGCTAATGCATAGGAATACCCCTCTGAATGTGTGACGTCAGCGCAGATATCTAACGATTTTTAAATGTTTGACTAAAACGTTTTGTAGCACGCGGTGGTATATGCTGCTTTGCGCGCAACAAATGCCGCACTTTCAAATGAAGTCGCTAGGAACAGCGGAGATCCCAAAAGTAAACAAAAGTAAAAGTCTAATATCTTGAAAACCGGTGAATATTTTTCGATGAAATTTGGTAGATATTTGTTTTTGCTCTTTTTGAACCGAGCGACATCACTTTCATGCCAATTCATTGACTTTTTTGAAGGTGGGAGGGTCCCTTTAAGTATAGAAAGACATTGGTAGCAGGCTAGACCAGCTACCCGACGCACATAAAACTTTTTACCTTTTTTAACTTTTTTCAGCTGCGCCCAGAGTGGTTCGCGCCCGCGCACTCCGTCCTCACACACACACACACTGCATTTAGAGCGAATAAATGAATGAATGAGTGAAACAGTTGGCCAACAAGTAATCAATTAACTATCAGATGCATGAATAAGAGTGAATTTATGGACGTAAAGAATGATTCGCATGCTTGTGAAGTTGTAGAAGAGACCAAATGGAATAGAATGTCATGATAAAAGTGTAGGTACGAGAAACTTTTGATTGTATGCTATGCCTGCGGTAGTAGCAACTTGTATCTGTTTTCAGGGAATCCTGTAGAAGTGAGTATCAGCGTGCACATCTTGAACATCGTAATCGACGAGGCTGAACAGGTAGGTCTGACGAGAGTCGAGATAATAGCCGTTTTCACGACTGCCATCTGGTACACATTTGGTGCACATCTGGTGCATATCAGGTGCAGATTTGGTCAAATCAGGTTCCGTGCGTCTCTTAGTAGCTATCAGCTAGGGTTGCACTAATTGCTTATATGCCTGCTTTGTCCTATTATCAGACAGCATCATCGATTAAAACACTGAAATAAATTCATAAAATGAAGATATTCGCTGTAAAAGAGATTAGGTGCAGATTTGGTCAAATCAGGTGCACTCGCCGGATAGCCCATCGTGAAAACGGCTAATGCCCGTCCAAAATGGGCGCTGCGAGCTGAGCTCAGCACATACAAGCTTAACAATCTGGCCTTTTAAAGTGACTGCCCTACGTTCATTATTATAATTTATCTTAGATTGCAAAGTTCGTGTGGAACTTGTGATAATTCGAGCTGTGATATTCATTTGACTCATCTAGTTGGTTTCAAAGAAAATCAGTTACTTCATTACAATGTGGGCCAATTACTAAGGGCCTAGCTCTTTAACATGTCAGCTGGCCTGAGTGCCGTCTTTAAATAAATGCTGCTTAAAAATGAAGATATTTGATATTTAGAATAGCCCTGACTGCTGATGAGTGAATTGCATACAAAGTGAATGTAAAAACACTCTTTATAAAGAGTGTTTTTAGATTTGTTTTTTGTAGATTTGGTTTACAGTGTAGGTACCTATCTCGTTGACAATTGTCAACGAGACAGGTAGCGATGAAAAATATGAATATTTGTGGCTTTCAAGATAAGCTTTCTTTAAATATATTGCCGTGTTTTGTTCCGCGTTTTCCCATACCTGCTACACTGCATGATTAAATCGAGACATCCAGGCATTTAAACGGCACGTGCACTGTACCACACTTTTCAAAGTTTAATGCAATGGGGTGTGGTTAAACACGTTGAACCACACGGCTGCTGACGTCACTATCATATAGTTGTGAGCTTTTTGGCAGGTATGGGAAACACCTTCCAGCCTTAGGCCGGGAATTCAATAAATGTCACCTCGCTTTTTTAGCAAAATCACCTCGGGCCTAACGGCCCTCGGAGTTTTCGCTAAAAAACCTCTGTGACATTTATTGAATCATCCCGGCCCCGGGCAGGAATATATTGTTCCATATGTAAATCGAAACTGTTGCGCCACTTGAACAAGATTTGCTAGCTGGTTTTTCCGATACGCGTATATGTAGTTGCATCATATTCACATTCAGATTAACATTCAGATTCGTTCCGAATGTCGATCATTTTCATCTACACTCAGATTCGTCCCGAATATCGATCATTTTCATCGACATTCAGATTGGTAGAAATACATATTTATGATATCACGTATACCTGAAATTTGTACATTCCTGGAGGGCACGACCACGATGTCATAAAAGTCGAGCTCAAAAAACTGGTTGACAGCTTTTGACGGCAGAGTGCGTTTGTTTGGCTGAATACCCCACCAGGGTGCGGGCTAAATTTTTACCATCGGCATTTATTCTTTTTATAAGCCTGAATGAATAGAAACTTCAACAATCAACCATATTTTACCTACTTCCCCCACGGACTTTCCCCTCATAAAAGCTGCCACTTTCTTCTAGGCACTTTTCGTTTTCAGTAAACACAATTGCACTGCTTTCCCCTTTTATGTGACAAGTCTTTTCGCTTTTCAGGTTATTCAATTTGACTGTTACCTGAGGACAATCTGGAAAGATCATCGAATCAACATGCCCGGTATATATGAACCCTACCAATTTTTGTTGACAGACACCACGGATATTTTAAGTCGTTCGCTCTGATTTAAAATTGTGAGGCTGGTGATCAATCTAGAAACATACCAACAAGGTACAATTGTCAGGCAATTTAAAACAGATGTTCTAAAGCATGCTTGCAAGTGGTCTAATATGTCGGCAATATCCTGATAGCATACACCAGCCCTCTAAGTGCTAAAAGATGAGTGCAATGAAACACCAAAAAAAGACTTACCTCGACTGTCTGCGATAGACCACACTGTTGAAAAACAGTGTTCATTTCATTTTATTTTTACCTATATCAGTTTTGTCATTTAAATGCTTAAAGTAAGATTAGGTATGAAGCAACCATTCTTTATATCGGTACACACATCTGCTCATCATACAAATTACCTAAATAGCTACCACCATCGAATTATGCCAGTTATGTCACCCATTACCGTTTCCGTTTCCGATTTGCGACGCAGACGTGGAAATGATCCAGCTGGACACTGCCATCATGGAAAAGATGTGGGTGCCCAACGCGTACTTCGTGTACGTGCAGCGCGTGGAGCGGCCCGAGCTGCTGTCCGACGCCTCTGGTGTGACGCTCTACAGAAATAAAACGATCGTACACGTAAGCAGACGCCCATCTGGCATGCAGCCTGAAGGCTGAAGCCACTGCAGCTCTGTGAAGAAGTTGTGCCGGCTAGATGCGGGTATGGGCTAGTAGGTGCTGATCTTAACATTCTTATTATAATTGCACAGGAGTTTCTCATCAAACTGCTTACATTTTAACCCTATTAGTGGCAGGGGGGGGGGTTGTTTTTATCCACCCCTCAGGTTTTTCGGGAATATCTCCGAAACCGCTGAAGCTACGATGCTGAAATTTTCTGACTTTTCCTAAAACTAAATTGGGCACATTCCCTGAAAATTTCAAGTTCATAACTTTACCAGGGGCGGCTCCAGAGCACTGGGAATTGGGGGGTCCTATTCGTGAAGCGAGTCTTTTGGGCGAAGATCACGATGCTGCACCAGTTTTACGAACAGTGAATGAAAGGTATCATGTGATAACATATACAGGGTGTCTCAAAAGTTCGTTCACACATTTCCCATGCCAATAAAGCATATAAGAACCGGCCAAAAGTATAAGGTTTTGGTGTCTGTGTGTACACCAGACAAATATGCATGCTTTGACAACTGATTAAGAAGGTTGGAAACCAACCCCTTTGCTGTATCTCCAAAAATATTTGCTCATACCGATTTTTGTTGCTCCGTCAGCTGCCGGAGGCTGATAAAAGGTTACCAGCTTTCAAGCTCTTGCAGGGGAAGTCCCTGCAGTTTCTGCGTCGGATTTTGTTTTGACTAGCTCCCCGGCAACATCTGATTTTCCCTGAAAGCCGACAGCTTGCATCGACACCATTCTTGAGTATTTTGTAGGCATTCTCTGGCGCTAACTCCTTCATGAATGACTGGCGCCGACATCCCAAGCGCCATTTTCCTTTTCAAAACGACCCCAGTCCTGAACAAACGGGAAGTGCCAGGAGTAAATTTTTCGCATCATATGGTAGCAGAATGTGTCGGACGTCTGTTTCTCAGACACATTGTGCAAATTTTGCAAATTCCAAGCGCTCGTCATTCCCCATGCCAAGACCTTCGCTCGGTTGCGGAGTGTTTTCCTCGGGAGATGTTCTGCTTTGTAAACGGCCCAAACCAGTCCATCGTGTGGTTTTATCGGGATTTTGTGTTTAAAAGAAAATTATTCGCTGCAGATCTGCCTCTTAAAACTTCGTTAGATAAAATTTTACAATAACTGACACTTTTGGAGGGTCAGGTGTCCTTGGCATTGACGAATTTTGTGTTATTGTCCCCAAAAATTAGCGTTATAGATATTATAAACAATTTTAAATTATAATTTGTCTTTATTTTACGATGAACTGCACTTTTTGAAAATGGGTATCCTCTGTCTGTGACCTTCTTGCCAGTTTTCAATAGTTATGACCGCATTTTCAGCTGCTTTCCGGAACACGAGTCTGCTGTCGTGCGAGGGTCGTTCAAAACGCCGTTAGTCTCGCATGGTTTCGTCCTTCAAAAATTTTAGCCACCGTTTTTATGAGATGATCATCATGTTGCACTCATCCTCGCCGACACTTAGCCATGTGTCATTTCCGACTTAAAGGGACCCTCCCACCTTAACATTAGATTTGAGTTGAGATAGCCAAAATGGGGTCCCTGGCTCACAATTACCGGTTTCGGCACTCACAACATCGAGAAATGCCTTAAATCGGAAATATTGAATTTCAAAATTGCAGCGTTTTGATTCAGAGGGGCTAATGCTTAGGAATACCCCTCTGAATGTGTGACGTCAGCGCAGATATCTAACGATTTTTAAATCTTTTACTAAAACGTTTGGTAGCACGTGGTGGTATATGCTGCTTTGCGCGCAACAAATGCCGCATTTTCAAATAAAGTCGCTAGGAACAGCGGAGATCCCAAAAAGTAAACAAAAGTAAAAGTCTAATATCTTGAAAACCGGTGAATATTTTTCGATGAAATTTGGTAGATATTCGTTTTTGCTCTTTCTGAACCGAGCGACATCACTTCCATGCCAATTCGTTAACTTTTTTGAAGGTGGGAGGGTCCCTTTAACCATTCCCATTACTCCTGAAACAGAGAGTTTCACAACATACCCGACTTTGCAACCTACATTTTCGTGCCTGACCCATGGTCAGAGGTGAACCCTTTTTGTGAGCTCATGAAGGGTCGAATGCACTTGAAAACAATGAGACTGCTTGAGGAAGGTTGTCACCAATGCCCATGCAAAATTTCGACTGTTAATTTCTTGTTGATTCAGAATTATTGACAAAAAAGCATGGCTGGTACCTGTGAACGAACTTTTGAGACACCCTGTACAAAGTTATTGTGCATCCTCTTTTGGCACGTTTTGCTATAATAGGCGGATCCAGGCGTCCAAAAAGGGGGGTTATTTTTTACCTCCCAACATAGGTGCCCTGACACCGCCTATGCATGACCAATACAATTTTAGTCGTTCTCTCATAAGAAAATTGCAACATAACAAGACCATTGCCACCCTTTTTAGAAACAGTACCAACAAAAACCTTATTTACTATACTTTATGTGTACCCCCAATCTCAATGATCTGTATCCGCCTATGATTTTTGAAAATGCATATTTTTAGGATCCATGTGGATTCCTGGTTCATTCTCTATCGATCGGCAAAAGTTGCGTTAAGATTGGTTCAGAAACCTGGCCGTGATAAACAGTCTAAAATGTATCTGCAATTTGCCCGTTTTTACCCCCCTCTACCCCCCTATTGACATTTTTTAATTTTATTTTTTTAGAAATGTAGATCTCGTTGAGCCAAATCGAATGCCGTTTGAATTTTGAAAATCGGCCGGTTAGATCTCGAGATATCAAGGGGGGGGTCGTAAACAGCCCCCCCCCTGCCACTAATATGGGGTAGCCGGGAGCCTGCCACTAATAGGGTTAAAGATAAGCATGTTAAAGAAATTGAAATAATAGTTACTTTCATTAAAGTCATGTTTATTGATGAGCGAGCAAGCGCAAGAAGACACAAACAGTTTCGTTTTTACCCAGGTAAATGTCCAGTGAGATTCGTTTTGGGGTAGTTTACCGCAAAATGAGTTTACCGCACTTGGTGAGATTGGGCCCAGGTTTGCATGTAACCTTCTGCTTGAAGCAACACATTTATTTCCAGCACCATAAGGCAAAGCTTGCATCGATTTTCAATAAAACGTCGGAACATGGGTCATGTCACACCTAATGTGTCTGCAGGACATCCGTTCGCTATATCTGTGATAGCAGGCAGGCAGCCTGGAATTACACATAATTGTCCGGGTGCGGCACTATGTTAAGTGCACCCAACGCATTCCAGTCCAGCCTGTACCTCACCAGATACACGTGCTATATGAATTACAAGAAGTACCCGATGGACACTCAGCGATGCAACATCCGGCTGCAGTCCTGTGAGTCCATGGCAACTGGCAATGGTGACCTTTGCATGCGATGAAGCAGCCTGAAGTTATAGACACTTCACCCACGTGACCTGAGATAACCTCAGGGACATAACAAGGGGTCACGGGTGCTCTTTTCCAGTTCTGTGTGTCATGTTTACTTGTAAGTTGGTGTTTGAGGGTGTTGAGAATGGTACATATTTGTACAAAAGAGGCGCCTTTCAATTCCTCCCATTTACTTTTGATGAAGAGGGAGCAAAATTGACTTGACCTTAGGTCATCATATAAAAATTCCGAGGTATACACTTTCTACATACTGTTGGCATTGAAACTTTTTATGAGGTGAGATTACTTGACGTGACTTGGTGACATCTTAACCCTCGCCCGTAAACGGTGTTTTGCCACCTTCGCCCATGCAGGGGGGGGGGGGTTAGTGCGACCCCCTGGCGTTTGAAAACGGAGCGTCGTAGAGCTTAGCGGAAAAGACCAACGGATTGCTCTCAACGAGGTCTCGCGATTGGTGGTATATTATTTGGTCCTAGGTCAACATTTGACCTATTTATGACCGGTCAAAGGTCAGATTTTCGGAAAAAAAATCTAACTTTTTCAGATTTCCGCGCCGATTGCGACAAAACGGTAAGAGATATCGACTTGAAACTTTCACTATCGTAATCCTTGATCAATTCTCTATCGTTTGGTGTGTATTTCGATGTCATAACTCTAAAAATGATGCGTTGGGAGCATCGTCTGCAAGGTCATTTGTGCATTGGGTCACGTCAGGCGTGTGACGTCACTGACCTGACCCTGACCCAAAATGAACTACAAGAAACAACCGACGATGCCTGAATGGATAGAAAATTCGAATTCAGAGCATCAAAATACCCCGAAAAGGCATACAAGTGCAAGAAGTCATTACAGGTCAACCGAGGTCACTGACCTTACCTTGACCTTTGGTAACCTTCAAAATGTCAACGGACATTGTGCCAATGTCAAATCAGCCAGTTGTGATTCTAAAACAATCCATCAGTGTGCTCAGGTCAGTCGGCATTTATACCAATGTGAAGCAATCTCCAATTTAGCGTAAATCTGGCCGGAGGTTATTCCCTTTATGACGTCATAACTCCGTGACCTGACATGACCTTGACAAAAAATACGAAAAGTTGCGCAAAAGATGCCCCAGAGGGTACTGAAAATTTGAGCAGGCTATCTGAAACGGTTCGGCGTGTAGCTAAGAAAAACCTCAGAGGGGGTTGCACCCCCCCCCCTACATGGGCGGGGGTTAAGTGACCTTGGTCTAAAATTTTTACAGCATGTGCAGAAAAGACGTATATGCGAAAAAGCGGTGGCGCTCCGCATCGCCGTTTTTTAGCTATTTGCGAAAACTGGAGGGGGTGAGCCCCCAGCAGGGTGTGGGTTAACAGATTCCCTGAAATTATTCATGTTCCAGTGACTTTAGGCTGCTTCAGGCACAAAAACTGGTTAATAGTGAAATGGGGCGAAATGAGAATGATGATTACTCCGTTAATGATTAAAGTAATTATATGAATAATAGTAACTGCTTACTTCATCGTTGGTTGGTGCGCTTGTGTGAATTACGAATGCGCACTGAATGTATGTACATAATGCCATGCCTACTTTCATTTTACGCCTATCCTACTGTTACATTGTTTTGTGCACCTCTTTCAGATATGTACAATAATAAGGTACTGCGTCTTTATTGGCACGAGACTGGCGTGACATGGGAACGGAACATTCGAGTCAGAGGGTTCGACCTGGCAGACATCGTTACGGTGCCTACGAAGGATCGTGTCACCCTTGCTGGTAAAGTCGTTCCTCATGCGTGAACATATGGAAAATATTGGTGGGTAGGCACAGTCTCTCTTCAAAGTACCGCGCATCGGTGCGCGGTGGATCCCTCGAGCCCGGCTAAGGAATGGCTGCTAACTTTGAGAGTCACCGAACCAATTGACCAGGGGGATGGATGAGGACGTCATATTGGTTCGGTGACCCTCAAATTTAGCAGCCCCTCCTCAGCAGTACCTGATGGATCCACCGCACCGCTTACTTTCAAAAGAGAGACTACATTGGAAGAGAGATATGGCCGTTGGATGGTGTGAGATGAATGAGAACGAAAATCAATGCTTATTGACTATCACATGAATGGTTTTGTTCCAGTGAGTCTGATTGATCATATGTTTTTAGATAAAAGGATTTATCTTATTACTATTGACAAAAAGTGAGCCTTTTTCATTTGGTGACAACAATGTCATTACATTTAACCCTTGTCGGCACTGGCCATTTCGCCATCCCGGCGTATTGGTACGACCATACGACCCCTCACTCGTCTGGCCTCCAAGTCCAATTGAAGTTGGAATTCGCGGAACAAATGAGCGTGCCGCTCCCCTCGAGAAAAAAAATAGCATGCCATGAACTGAAAAGTGTCAGATCAACTCATGATTGCTTCAAAGGACAGGCGATTATCATAAATGTGGGTATTGGTGTTTATTTTTTAATACCATCCAAAATAGTCTCAATGAAACAATTTTGGTACGCACCAGCACATCATCTTGTAACGCCGCGTTGAATGAGCACTTCTTGTTCAGCTGACTCCATCAGTGCACGACCAAGCACGCTGAGCCATCCTGACCTATCGGCAGGGGTCTCAGTTTCGAGGTGCTGCTGTCGCGCCGCGTGTCGAACGCCGTGCTGACCATGTACGTGCCCAGCACGATGCTACTGATCGTCAGCTGGCTCTCGCTCTGGGTAAGAACTGCTCCGCATCGGCCAACAAAGTGTGGAAATAGGGTTTGTACGGTCGGTTCAGGTTCATCATACGGATTCGCTATCGTATCTGCGGGAGTCAGGGGGACTCGCGAGGATTTTCCGCTCCCCCTGCGTCTTTCCGGCCGGGGAGACTCGTGATGTATTTACAGCCCCTCCCCTCCCCCCCCCCACCAGCTCGAGACATCTAAATATAGGGGAGAGTGGGGTAATTTGGCCGCTTTTTTTAGAAAACGATATAACTTAAAATTGACGACACATTTCTGCATTTTCTCAACGCTGGCAGGTGTCGTATTCATTTTACTTTACTGGACAGTGAACTTGAAATGATAGAGTAATTACTTATATTTAAATTGTGACGTATTACAAAGGTCTGCAAGGCGGCCAAATTGCCCCACTAGCAGGGTTATTTGGCCGGGGGAGTGGGGCAATTTGGCCGGTGTTAGTTTGCGGTCGGGATTTTCTGTTATATTGCGAGTCAGCTTCAGATTCAGCAATGACGTGTGTCCTATGACGCATTTGCCGCATTTTGGAGGTTCACTCAGGGGTCACAGGGGTCAAAATAGCCAAATTAGCGGCTCTAGATGCGAAGACAGTTTTTTACGAATAACTTTTGAAGTAATCAAGCTAGGCCAAAACTTCGAGTACCATCGTAATTCTCTCGTCAGTCCGCATCGAAAGATATATGTGTTGACCTTGAGAAGTCAAGGTCAAAGGTTGACCTCAGGTCACGTTGCATATGGTCGCTTGACTTCAAGGTCACATGATTTCAAGGCCATCATGCATATCATTCGATGCGCCTTGGCGAGCTGAACAGAATGAGACCATTTGTGCGGCTGTACCATTTTTATGTAATGATTTATTAGCAAAAAACGTTTGGTAACCTTTGATGACGTCACATGCTCTTACAGTTGACCAATCGGAAGTAAGGCATCAAAGTAGTCAAAGTTGGTCATGAATCATGTCATTTATGGTACAATTGACCATGAAAACTCGGCCGTCCCAGCATATAGACCATGAGCGCACCGGCCAAGTTGCCCCGCTAGTCCCGGCCAAATTACCCCATATTGTCATTCTGAAAATTTTTGTCTATAAAGTCATCACGGCTATACGGAATTAGATAAAATTGCTCTTGGAACCGCTGAACACCCCCAAGAATGGCGCTATAATGTCTGAATTCGTTTTTAGCCCAAATACTACATGTTATACAACTTTGTAAACAGAAGTAAAAGTTACCATTTTCTAATGAAATTAACGTTTTATTAATTTTGAATAAAACTACGAGGCGCAAAGTTTTGACATTTGTCCTCCAGTTATTTCTACCCATGACAAATGAATAGAGACTAGAGCTATTTCACTCACTTTTATTAGACAGCGTACAGGTGGGGGCGGCCAATTTACACCACCGGCCAAATTACCCCACTCTCCCCTACCAGCATCCTAATCTGCCAACTCTTCACGAGATGAAAAACATAATGAAAACGGGGGTGAAACTCATCCGGCGACTCGGGCCGATGCAGTCGCCGTACGGCGTGGGTAGACTGCGCCGCATAACACACAAGTGAAGCGGCACAGCCTACCAGCATTTGCCAGGCGGCTGCTGCCAGTCCTGAAGCTGAGTAACCGCCAACCGGTGGATGAAAAGCTTAAAATAGACTTTCTCCTAAAGTTCGCTAGTACGTGGGGGCTTTCCATAAATTATAAACATACCTTCGTCAGCTATCGTATCGATCGAATAAATTCCATCGCATCAATTCGTTCCGAGTGAACGATTAGAAAGCTTAAAATGGACTATCTCCACAAAGTTCGCTGGTTCGTAGGAGCTTTCGATGTGTTTTTACATATCTTCGTCAGCAATGGTGTTGTAAAATATATTTGGTCGTAAACATCCCCGGCCCGGTGCGGCTTAACCCCTTTGTAGACTCCGCTGGGCACTGGTCGCTGGAGGCTCTCTAGAGTCTTTTCTGCCTTGATAGGCGAAATTTCAGTTCTATTTTAAGCATATCTGCCTACCTATTTTCCAGTTAAACTTTCTATTTTTCCAAAACTTTCCATCTATGCTGAAGACTGCTGTTTTTTATGATAACTATTTTGTTTTGAAGTGACATGAAACGTCCTTTGTTTGCAACGTTTGATTTTCACTGCAATCGTCTGTGTAATGTTTTAGATTTGCGACTCGTCCTTGCGACTGTACGATGGAAAGTGCTTATATTCGTATGAAACAAAATGGAACTGAACGTGAAATATCCACATGCTATTTTGTTCTTGTTACTGTGATCGTTAACACTTCTAGAGGGAAGAATTATGCGACTGCTTATTTATAAAACTCCGGCTCTCACACTTAGGGGAAGGAGGGTGAATTGCGCCACCTTAAGGAAAAACGCTAATTGTAAGAAAACCGCTGGAGATATAAGCATGCATCAGTGACCATTTCAAAGAGGCTACGATTTAAGAGCCTCCCGATCAATTAAGAATGTTTCGTTTGCTTCTGACAGCTGCTTTTTCAGAAACATGTAAAAGGGTGCATTTGCCAACAACTGCTGTAAATTGCGCCAGGGGGATGGCGCAATTAGAACCCAATTGCGCCCTATACTTTAACATGGCTAAGCGAATGAGACGGAATGCATACACCCCCGCAGTCTAATGTCATTGCGGCTTACTTTAACATTCATAATGTTATTCACGCTGGTTAAATAATAAATTTAGGTGTAAATCGCGATGTTTTTTTGCCCAGGTAGATAACTTTACATGTCTTCGTACGCTTGTAAAAGTGCAACGAAAACGTTTACTGTAACCGACTAGATATATGTGAACGTATGCGCCTATACGGTTATATTTCCAATCGTTTCTCTCAAAATTAATAATTTTCATTATTTCGACAGTTTTATGACATCAGTTTTTACTTTTTTATCATAGCTGTCACCTCTCACGCCTGAGTCCATGTTGAAAATGTCGTATTTTGTCAATTACACAAGTTCGTAGCCTAAATGGCAGCTGCATTATAAGTTTGACGAGAGAAATAATTTGCGGACTGACGACAGCGGGCTGCTCCCCTGCCTGACCTTAAACTCCTTCTTTATTACAATCAGTTAATGATGCATTCATGCTGTCGTGATATACAATAGCTACACCATTATTCTATTTGCGCCCCCCTGGCGCAATTGCCATGGGCGCAATTAAAATTGAGGTACTTTTTAATAAAAGCGTGGAAGTTATCATAAAGATGTTGAAGGAAATTAACTGTTTTAGTGAAATATAATGAAAAAAGGGTTTTTCTTTCTAAATATCACTCTGAAAATCACACAAATATCACACATTTTTATAGCCAACGGCTCAAAACACTGCAAAAAAGCTAAGAAAACGCCGTAACATCTTTGATGGCGTAATGAGCCTCGCTGATTGGCTTCATCGGGGAGCTTGGGCCATAAAAGGAACTATCCAGTGGGGAAAATAATGTTTTCGAACACAAAATTCAAAACATGCCATTGAATCCGTGGGAATGTTGGTGGGCGCAATTGGTTAGGAGGGCGCAATACACCCACTTTCCCCTACATGAACCATTTCTGGAGTAAAATGTGCATGTAAAATGTAATTCATTCATAAAAAACAGCCGTTCCATGTGGCGCAATCAGCGCCCTGGCGACCCCAACGGCTCTGCTTCGCCCCAGGTCTCCAGAACTGGTGCCAGGCAGAGTGGTGTTGGTGATCACCACCCTACTGACACTAACTGTTTGACCCCAGGTCCCTCCAGAACTGGTGCCGGGCAGAATGGTGCTGGTGATCACCACTCTGCTGACTTTAACAGCTCTGTTCAACGCTAGTATGTAAGTTGTCTGTAAAAGTTTCGGTGTTGGTGCAAAGGTAAGGATATTGTTTTCTTGCTTTGTGATATTTCGAAAATAATGGCAATGACGCCTACACGAAACCCCAACAGTGAAGGAATGCCAATATGAATTTGTAATCTCTCAAGGGTACTGAACAAGAGTATATGTTACATGTTACGAGTTGACTATCCCGAAATTTTCCATTTTATCCGAGTGCGAAAAGCTCTTTTTTCGCGAAGTGTGATTGCGGTACCTACAGAGCACGGTCGTCAAGTTACATGTAAGTGAATCCTAATCTATAATCTAAGATTCGGAATCAGGCGAGCCCCTACGATTTGGATCAAACTTGATCAGTGGATAGTACGTAACGTCCTGATTACGATGCACCCAAAATCTAAGCTCGGCCCGCCATATTTACGAAGTTACGGATGTTTCAATTTCAAGGTCATTCGGGAGAGCCCCTACGATTTCCGTCAAAATTTGTGTACGGACACTCTAGGTGCTCCTCATTACGAATTTAACAAAATTTAAGCTCGGCCCGCCATATTTACGAAGTTACGGATGTTTCAATTTCAAGGTCATTCGGGAGAGCCCATACGATTTCCGTCAAAATTTGTGTGCGGACACTCTAGATGATCCTCATTACCAATATCACAAAATTTAAACTCGGCCCGCCATATTTACGAAGTTACGGAGTCACAAAGTTACGGAATTTCAAGGTCATTGAGCGAGCCCCTCCGATTTTCGTCAAAATTTGTATGCGGACACATTGCATGCTCCTCATTACGAATATCGTAAAAGCTAAGCTCGGCCCGCACTATTTCAAAAGTTACTGAGGTTTGAAACTCACTGAAATTCAAACATCTGTAACTTTTGAAATAGTGCGGGCCGAGCTTAGCTTTTACGATATTCGTAATGAGGAGCATGTAATGTGTCCGCATACAAATTTTGACGAAAATCGGAGGGGCTCGCTCAATGACCTTGAAATTCCGTAACTTTGTGACTCCGTAACTTCGTAGGGGAGAGAGGTCATATTGCGCCATGTTCTTAAATGCGCCACACCTTCCTCCTGTCCAAAATTCGATTCGAATGAATGCTCGAATGTGTGCATTTACTTCACCACCAATAACTCGCTCTTATTCCGGTCCACGGGGGCAGGTGAGGTGTCTCAGCTTTCTCGCAGACCATTTTTTGTGATTTCCTCTATTTTCTTACGCGAAACAGTCTATTTCGACCTTTGCTAGTGTCATGCTTTATCTTAGAGATAGTGATTCAACTAATAATAATTGTTAATTGCTCATTTCATGGTATTTTTGAAAGTTTATCACCACCGTGGCTTCGCTGTCCTTGCCATATTTGAAGCTCATGAAAAATGTGTTCCATTCGTAATTGCGCCCACCCTATTTGCGCCCATTCTTCAACCCAGAGAAACAACATCTGGTGGTTGGGACACATTTCATTGAACACTTTGATTATTAGAGCGCTCACCTTAACATTACCTTAGCCTTCACAGCATAAATGGTTAATGGGCTGACACGTTCAAACAGGCTACTTAGTTAGGTGGCAAACCGTTGTTTTTAATAGGGCGCTTTTACATGAGAGGCATGGGCGCTTTTTGATGGGGTGGTCCGTAAATGCGCCCTTTGCAGGTGTGTCGGAAAACTTTTCTCTTGTTAATTTTTATGGGTGTGATACAAATTAGGAGTTGTAATTTGATGCCAAAATAACTGAGGTACAATTTGAGATATCATCAAGCATGACAGCTGGTCAACTTTAGCCGCAATAGGCCGATATCCTTAAGGTGGCGCAATATGACCTCTCTCCCCTAAATATGGCGGGCCGAGCTTAAATTTTGTGATATTCGTAATGAGGAGCATCTAGAGTGTCCGTACACAAATTTTGACGGAAATCGTAGGGGCTCTCCCGAATGACCTTGAAATTGAAACATCCGTAACTTCGTAAATATGGCGGGCCGAGCTTACATTTTGTGATATTCGTAATGAGGAGCACCTAGAGTGTCCGTACACAAATTTTGACGGAAATCGTAGGGGCTCTCCCGAATGACCTTGAAATTGAAACATCCGTAACTTCGTAAATGTGGCGGGTCGAGCTTAGATTTTAGGTGCATCGTAATCAGGACGTTACGTACTATCCACTGACCAAGTTTGGTCCAAATCGTAGGGGCTCGCCTGATTCCGAATCTTAGATTATAGATTAGGATTCACTTACATCTAACTTGACGACCGTTACAGAGCTGGCTTCCTTTTGGAATGCGCCACATCAACACGCCAGTTGTCATGGATGTTCCACAAACGGAATAGAATTGAAAAAAGCTTCGCTTGCAAGTTAGACGTCTGATGATAGGGGGTGCTAACTACATAGTCAAGCTGTATTGCTCCAGTTTGAACCGAATAAGCATGGAATGCCTAGCCATTGACCCATTGTTAAGATGGAGGGAAGTGTTTAAAAAGAAGTTAACACAATGGGCTACAAACTGCTATCTCGGATATCCGAAAGTTCAGTGTTCTTACCAAAAAGATTGATAACTTCCGGTTTTCTGCCGTTTTCTGTAGCTTTTCATGAGCTGCCGTTTTGCGTCAGTATGTAAATGCAAAATTGTGCACGCATTCAGGCTTGAATGACGTATGTGCATCTCGACGTTGCTAGTGAATTGAGACGATACGAGTAGGTATTGTAGCCGCATGTGGAATGCAAGGCTGCGGTATAAATAATTCATGCTACTGAGCGATATGCATGTCAACATACGATTTTTTGGTGCGAGACTGGCCCTGTAATTGCCTGACATCAAACTCCAACCGCTATAATAGGTTTATAAAATTATTATTTGGTGCCGGAATAGCGGTGTCATGAGCCATAAGTAATATAATCAAATATTAATATTCATCTTTTACGTACTTGGAAACATTATTGACGTTGCGCACGCCATACAGCATGATTACACCTTTTCGTACAGTGTCGGTAAACGGTCGACGCTTAGATATTACTTATGAGTACCCTCGTCTAGCGCTTACACTCGCACGAACAATTTCATCAATGAATCATCACCAACAGGCTGTCAACCATTTGTCGGCAAAAGACGGAGCTATGAGCAATAGCAAACAGCCAGATGGCCTCTACGGGCGCCGGGTACCCAAAATTACCACCATTGTACCATTTTGTGTCATCAGGTGTGTCAATCAATTATTGAACACCAGTTCATTCAGCTCGGCCTCTGCGGCGCCATTTTGGATGGGACGCTGAGCACTCAGTCCATGGGCAGGATCGAAATTCTAGCTGATGGTGTCAGGTGATCACGCCTTACCCGCCTGATGCGTGGCTAATCTCTATCCCATCGGGCTGGTATTTACCAAGGGAACAAGGTTGAACCCTGCAGGCGCCGTTAAAGTGCACAGGCGCGTGCAGGACTAGCAGAAACATCGTCGACATAGCTTGTGACGGGGTGATTGTTACGGCATGGCTGAATTGGGGGCAGCTGCTGGAAGCATTCCTTGAGTGTTTAATCTCGCGATTGGCTGAAATATGGCCGTGCATAGTAAATGTAATCATCGGCTATGCCTTACATGGCTGCATGTGACGCACCCTATGGAGTATGGATGCCACCTCACAATTACAGCGAACGTCACATTGTAATTTTTGTCGACAACGCTACTCGGACCCTAAGAGCATGAGCAGAGCTTTTGAGAATAAATTAGGCATTCCATACACAACTTTATGTCTGTCACCTTTCGCCAATTAGGCCCAGTGCTATTTCGGAATCAAGTGAAATGTCAACTCGCTTATCTTTCCGAAAACAGTGAATCCCTGAAGTTTTACATGATGCAGCCAATAGGCGTGTTTTATAAGTCGGAGAGAGCCTTTTCAGGAAACGAGTTTTTTTGTCAGGTTATTGCGTTGTCGTACGAGGGAAAACTTGGCAGTTTTATTTTATGTAACCTCGATTGTATTTAAGTTCAAACTACTGAGTAGCGTAAGGAGAAGAAAAAGTGATAACTGATTACGTACCTACCACTTACCAGGTAGGTACCTACTTCCCTAACCTTTTCCAAAACACTTCTAGGTAAGTGCCCACTGCCCAGTGGGGATATGACTTCAGCGGGTGATGTAATGAAGAGGGGAGAAACAGCCCGATTGAAAAAATGTCATTAACTTGGCCTGCTATGGCCTATGTCTGACGTGGAATGTTTCCATTTCTCCAGCCAGGCGGTGCCCGAAATCAACTACGTAAAGGCGCTCGATATCTGGAACCTGGCCTGCATCGTATTTGTGTTCTGCACAATCGTGGAATACATTGCTGTTCTCAGGTAGGCATGCGTGTTGCAATAATGTAGCAATAACTTGCGGAAAATGCCCGTTTATAAATTGTGAAACGAATGCTGACAACTTAGCAAGTCATGTGCATTGGACTGTTGGATGGTAAACGTCCCTAACCGGCTAAATAAAACCATGGCCCGTACTTAATTAAATGATAAGATAATGGCTTAGCATTTATATTGGCCTGGGACCGGCTGATTATGAGCATGTTTTCATGTCGTCAATTTGAATGTATTTTACCTCGATCAAACGTAAACGTTTAATCTAGATCTACAAGCAAGTAATCTTGCTTCATTACCTATTCCGTTGCCAAAATGTGAATGCATTTATAAACTCAGAGTAGCTTAGCTATATTTTCATTTCTTGAGAGAACCACTCGTCACCTTCGTAAATGATTATTGATTGTTCCGAATTCCGATACTATTATTAATATTTATAATGTGAAATTCATTTAGCCTTAGTTTTAAACATTTTTCTCTTTGAATTCAGTATCAAAACTAATTCGCTTCCCCTTTTTCTGTGTGAAGGTTTTCCAATGAAGACAAAAGGAGGAAGGTGGTCCCAGTAGAAAATGATAAGGTAAGCCGCGCCCCGTTGGGCTCTGCCGAGCAACTCGCCCTGTTGGGGGGGGGGCAATTTGCCCCCCATACAATCTCGAGAACCACGCAACCTAGCGACGAGCAGCAAACGGAGTTGGATAGCCCCATCAGGGAACTACCTTATGCCCCAATTTTATTGACCTAGGTCAAACCGATGACGTCACAGGTCAGGTCAAAGGTCGATTTTTCACCGTTTACAGACATTTCAAGAAATGCGTTGTAAAATCGAGTAAAATGCATTTCATTGAAAATCATCGATAGAGAAATGTTCTTCAAACACATATTTTGCTATTTGAGGTCACTGATACCAGGTCAGGTCACAGAGGTCAGGTCACTGGGGGTCACAATATGAAAGTTACGTGTAATACATGTTTTATGGTCCATTTTACATAACAAATGCGATTATGTGGGTCAGGCAGCCTTTGGGGCCAGCTTAGGTCACGTTTTGGTCAAGGTCAGGTCAAGGTCAGGTCAAGTCAGGTCAAGGTCAGGTCAAGGTTAGGTCAAATTAGGTCAGATTTCAAAGTTGATATTTTTGCATAAAATGGGAATCGATTCGATGCAGCTCGTCACGGGGAGTTCAATGGTGGTCTTTGTTTTGCCCTACGTGGTTAAGAAGCTCTAAAAATTGAGTTCAAAAATTTGACGTCATCATTTTTGAACAGTTTTTTTTCGCTATAACTTGGCAAAAAAACGAGATATCGATCTGAAATTTGGTATGTATATAGAAGGGCGCAGGGACTATCACATATATTCCGTTTTTTTTTTCTCGAAATTTGGATTTTTTGGATTTTTTAGTTTTTTTTTCTTAAAAAGTCAATTTTTTGAATTTTTAGGGGTCAAAAACCCAAAATTTTGAAAATCCGAGATAGCCGTTTTGTAGCGCCGCTTTTTGTCTACTCGACCATATAAAGAACTTTGAAATTGCTTGGTAACTGTAGATTTGGTGAGCGTTTCAAGATTGCATGTTTTTTGCTCATTTTTGCTCGAACATGACCTCAGTTTCACCTCAATAACTCCTGACCTAAGGTGACCTAAGACTCGAAATTTGGTGTGAAGGTGTCAAATTGATGCCCGGGAAGGTACTGAAAATTTGGCGGCGCCCAAGGGGGCGAGGGTTAAGGCAGGGCAAGTTTGATTTCATCGTGCAGCCTAAGCATGAATTATTTATAAAGACGTTTGAAAGTGTTCTTTTCAGCCCTCGCCTGCCAAGTAAAGTTGATGAAACCTCTCCGATATGTATTTGTGTTTGTAACGTGTTAAAGATATAAGAGCGGAGATTTCCGTCGTACTAACATTTGATCCAAGCAAAGGCTAAGCAGCAATACCCTTTGACGTCGTAAGTGAACATGCGCAGTTCAAAATTTTCTGGGTTTGGTTCTTCATTGACGTAATGAGTTACATACTTACAGTTATGTTCTAAAGACATGTTTTTACTAGCTCTTTGCATGAGTCCCTGTAACGTACTCTGAGTGCATGGCTGACTTGGTAGTCCGTAGTTCCGTAGCAGACAGACCACGCTGCCTTGCAGCGCCCCTGCCCGCCGGCAGAAGGTTGGTATCTCCGTAGCAGACAGACCACGACGCGCCTTGCGGTGCCCCTGTCCGCCGGCAGAAGGCCGCCTGGTCAGTGTGCCGGCGCTGGAGCGGAGAGGAGAAGGCCGACCTGCTCGAGAGGACGTTCCGCGCCCTGCTGCCGGCCGCCTTCTGCGTGTTCAACATCGCCTACTGGAGCTACTTCCTCACCACGAACGACGCTTGAGTAGTAGGCGGACTGCTTCTCAGGAGATAGACAGCTCCTTAGAAGGCAGATAGCTCGTCAGGAGGCAGACAGCGTGATCCTCAGGAGACAGACCGCTCCTCAGGAGACAGACAGCACTCTTCAGGAGGCAGACCGCTCCTCGGGAAGCAGACCGCGCTCCTCGGGGCCGGCGGGGTGGAAGGCAGCTCATGCTGTGTCAGGTGACTGTGTCAGACTCAGACGGGTGATCGTACCTCGCGACTGGCGAAGGCGGTGGTGTGAGAAGTGGTGGGATCAGATGACACAGGCCGCATCTGTTTTTATTGTATTTTAGATCTGCTATTGTATGTATGCATGCATGTTCCTACGCATATGCACTCACTCAACAGTGGCGTCCGTCCTGCACATCCGTCTCAACTATTAGAGTCAGCAGTCCGAGCGCAGTACGCGTCAGGATCGCCTTTTGAGGGCTCCTGCTATGCGAACGGCCGCCGGGCAGCGATCGTTTTTATATCGCGCAACATCACTTTTAAATGAACTGCCTGTGAGTATCGTTGAGCTGGACCCCACTTCTTTCAAACGTGCCCTGAAGATAGTTAAGTGTAATAGGGATATGTAGTGGGAGGGGGAGGGGGCATAGGAGTGCAAGCTTTATGATGTGCACGTGTGCCTGATGTTTGCCTGTTTTACCCATTCCGCCTTTTACCTGTTTTTATATTGTGACTATCGGCACAGAATAGCCACGCCGGTGTATGTGGAGTGCTGGCAAAAGTCAATAGACGTTGTGTTGCTGCAAGATGACTGTGATCGGCAAATTCGCAGTGTCATGCGCGTGAACTTGACGACTGCCTCAAGCGTCGTGAGTTTGAATGTTTACATTGGTATGTCACAGTGTCACTGTCCTCACGTGCCACGATGGTCAGCTGGTGGCGTTGCTCCCAGGTGGAAAAAGACAACGCCTAGTAAGAGTAGGTATATCAATTGCTCCTTCTTGGAATTCATGCAATGCTATTATTACGATATAATCAGGCTAACGTTATAACCGACTTGTCAAACGTCGATACCATGTAAGATTTAGCTTTTCCTAGCATTTCCTCGTAGATCTGCGCTTCATACCCAAGTATCAAGCAGTAAGCACAGATGTGAACATAAGTCTTATGGCATGAAATAGTTGCAGGTGCAAAATGACGACCAATGGAAGCTTGCAAACATCTGCATTAAGCTTTGGGGTGTGCGGAATATTATTGTTGTTATTTTGATTTATCGTTGTATTTGTGTCACACTCGTGTTATTATTGCTCATAACCTCGGCTTCTCCGCATGTGACGATAGCTGTGTTTGCTGCCTAAGTCAGCAAATGAGGGGTTGGTCAGCCGATGTGTTCATGGGATGAAACTTTGAAAGACATAGACAATTCAATAAAATGGCTGAATAGAAATCAGAAAAGGTTCCGTGCGGATACTGGCAATGTTTGTTCACAGGTTATTCCTTCACCAATACAGATAGATTATTGTGATGTTGGCATCCAAGTACCATCTGATCCATGGTGATAATTAGACACTCCGTGGAGAAGGATCGCTCTCGTAGTGTGAACGTATCTTAACATTTATCTCGTGGTTTAGAATAAAGCTCATGCACGATGTATCCGTTGCAATAGTTGTAAAAGGCACGTTTGACTCATGGAGTTCACAGCTCACACGCTTGCAGGTAGAAGGTAGGTACTTCTACTTGGTTTCCTTATCCTTATACCTTATCTTAGTACATGGGTGTCGATTTGTATACCTTTGGGGGTGCTGCAGCACCCCCAATGCTCAAATGAGCACCCCCAATGGTTTTCCGGGCACCCCCAAATGTTCCAGTTTAGCATCCCCAATAATTTGGTCCCTCAAAAACTCCCACTAACTCTGCTTGAGGAAAATAATTGGTTCCGCAGTCTTTCACTACTAAAAATAAAACAATTACGCAATTTACAATGCATGAAGTAAAGATGTAAAGAAAGTAAAAGTTAGTCTTAAGAAGAAGGGCGTAAAAAGACGTTAAGTTGCAAAGACACTGGTGTGGGTCCGTCGTAGACGGGTGTCGTACCCTTAGAGCTGATGGCGTGTACCCTTTACAAGCCGGCAGGGGGCTCCAGAGACCGGCGACGGGCCCTCAGAGGCCGGCAAAGTGCCATCAGAGGCCGGTGGTACCTTCAGAAACCCTGTGGGGTCGTCTCTAGAGACCGGCACGGGCTCAGATGCCGATGGGGCCCTCAGAGTCGCCGGTGTGGGGCCTTCAAATGTCACCGGTGGGTGGCCATCACATGTGCACTTGTGGGGCCTTCAAAAGCGACGATGTTGGGCCCTCAAAGCCGCCGATATAGGGCCTTAAGAGGCACTAGTGTGGGGCCCTCAGATATGGCAATGTATGGCCCTCACAGGCCGGCCGTTGTGGGGGCTCTCAGAGACACTGGTTTAGGGCCATCACAGGCGCGCGTGTGGCCCTCAGAACTGCTGTTACGGAACGGACCCTTCATAGGCCGACAAGAAGATATCAAGAGGTCACCGGTGCCATCAGGAGCCTTGTGGGGTTCTCAGAGACCGGCATGGCGCTCTCAGACGCCGCTGGGACCCTCCGAGTCACCTGTGTGGGACCGTCAGGGTCGCTGATAACTGACAAGGGCCCTCAGAACCGCACATGTGGGGTTTTTAAATGCATTGGTGTGGGGCCTCAGAGTTAGGGGTGTGGGGCCCTCAGAGACGCCGGTGTGGCGCTCAGAGGCGCCGGTGAGGGCCCTCACAGTCGCCGTTATAGGGGCCCTCAGAAAAATAGGTGTGGGGCTATTACAGGCGGGTGTGGAGCTCCCAGAGAGCTCCCAGAGCCCCCTAACCCAGCCAGCAATTTGGTTCGGCGCAAGTCCGTTTTGCCCCGGCAACTCCGACATGCCAGACTCGGGCCGGTATAAAAGGAACGCCGTCAGAGCCGGGGTTTGGGTCGATACGGCTCTATTCCGGTTAGCCAGTCTTGGCCGTAGCGCTCCCGGGTTGGTATGGTTCCGGACCGCCAAGTCTGGCTCAAGTCCGGCTCCCTGCCACGGCTCAAGTCCGGCTCCCTTACGACCAGTCCGGCTGCCTCATAGCTGCTCTGGCTTACTGTGGCTGAAGTACGGTGGAGGTACGGCACGGCTGATGCGGCATAAGTCCGGCTGTGGTGCGGGCGAGCTCCGGGATCGTGTCAGCTCCAGTAGAGCCCCAGACCTTGCCCGTACTTTAGCCGGAGCAAATGCCTGAGCTATCCAGAGTAAAACCAGCTACGGCCAAGGCCAAATTTGCTGGCTGGGAATAGGCCGGTTAGGACCCCCAGAGTCCGGCAAGTGGCCCTCCGAGGCCGGTAAGGGGCCCTCAGAGGCTGGCTTGGGCCCTTATGGAGATCTTATTGTTGATACTTGTGGGCCCATGAGGTGTTTTTTACGAGCCCTGTGGGGCCCTTCTGAGTCCAAATATGGTCAACATGGACCCTTATCGGCCAATTGGCGCCGCAGGGCCCCTCAGGCCCGAATAACCCGAGGGGACCCTGAACCTGATGGGGGGGGGGCACGGGCCTCACGGGCCCACCTGGCTACGCCACTGAGGAAAATCGTAAACCTGTAAATATCCAAATGCGATCACCTTTCATTTTTCAGCGATTATTGTGATCGTCTAATTACTGCCAGAGCATCGTAGCTACCGTTGTCTCCGCGCAATGTCCGCCCCTGCGGACCGTAGCGACTGCTGCACCGGTGCTAATCGCCGTCATCGGTTTCTGTCACCTTTTAACAGAGGTGCCGGGGCTGCTGCCATACTGCCGGCAAATATACGACTTTTTTCGGAAAGATGTTTATGTAATAAGGTAGCCAAGTAGGTACTAGGGCGAGCGGAATGATTTTCAAGAAGAAGGTTCTGCCCTTGGGAAATATCAGTGGAAATCTCGGCATTATCAGTATTCAGTACCTTATGGGGATAACCAACTCTATACGGCTGTGCCCCATGGCAAAGCTGCAATCTTTCACCCGGTGCAGGGGTTGAGCACCCCCAACCATTTTGAAAAATCGACACCCCTGTCTTAGTACCTTATCATACATCAATTTGACACGTTCCCGGAAAATTTGAGCGAAATCCGTCGGAAATTTTTTGAGAAATTGACGTTTTAGTGACGTCATGTTCGCCATTTTCGCCTAAAAAACGGCAAAATTTCAAACGCCGCTAATATCTTCATTTTTGAAGAAATCAAGACGTAACGAAGAAGGTTATACGTAACTCTACTTCGCCTATCAAATGCCTATCTCGGTTTTTTGAAAATTTTGGATTTTGGCCCAATTTTTTTCTTCAAAAGACTGACTTTTTTGGGAAAATATTTTTAAAATCCAAAATTTTGAGTGTATCGAAAAAAACGGAATATATGTCAGAGAAGTCGTCTATGTGCACCTACATACCAATTTTTAGAAGAATCGGTTCAAATATGTGGGAATTATTGAAAATTTTATGACTTCACGACTCACGACACACAAAAATTTTGAAAAATATTTTTTTGGAAGTCTAGACCTGGTACGGAAACAAAAATAGCACCATTCGATTCACCGTGAAAAACTGCATCAGATAGACACCTTTTTAGGCCTTAACAACCAACTTCAAAATTTGACCTCACTTGACCTGCCCTTGACCTGACCTCGACCTGAAATTCATCCAGAGGTGGCCCATATCACTTATTGAGTGTGCCTATTGAATTCTATGAGTAAAATGACCATAAAACATGTGACGCTCATGCCCTTTTCCATATTTTGTTTTTGGTGACCTGACCTAACCTGACCTGACCTTGACCTTGACCTTTGAATGACATTGTATGCAACGAATATTGTCTTGGTAGTCTAAGAACACGTTTTGGGCAATCAGTCTCAGTCCATTCTTCGGCAACTACGGTGCAAGGCCGATACTGTAGAAACTTGCATTTTGTACCATTGACCTGACCTTGACCTGACCTCTGACCTACTTCAGCAAAAAAATTTGGGCTCTTAAGATCCGCCTTGTTGAGAACTTTCGATTGCCGTTTTCCCCGTCTTTCTACGACCATCGGTTCGGAAGTTAGACAGGGGGGCAGAATCTGCCCCCCCCCCCCCCCCCCAGCAGGGCGCGTATGGCTGAATAGCCCAGCGGGGCGCGGGTTAAGCTGTATTTCTTATGGCTTTTGTTATCGCTGTTAAAAACAATTATCGTTTATCGTTTATCGTTGCGTTATCGCTGTTAAAAAAAAACAATTATCGTCATCGTTTTATCGTTTATCGTTTCGTTATCGCTATTAAAAAGCAATCAACGTTATCGTTTTATCGTTTTATCGCAAACGCTGTTAATTTTTTGAAAATTTTTATCGTTTATCGTTTATCGTTGTCGCAAACCTTTCTTATCGTTTT